GGGCGTTGGACTTTTGCGGCCGGGGTTTAAGGGCAAGACAGCGCGGTGGGTGCTTAAGCGCGGGTGCCAGGGACCAAATGGACAGCCTGGTTGTGCAGGGGGTGGGGGGGGGGGGAGGGGGGGGGGGGGGGGGGGGGCACTGACCCTGGGGTGGACTTCAGTGAATCAGGAACTCCGGTTTTTGTTGGCGTGGTGGTGGGACAGGGTATGGGGGACTTTGGCGTCCCCGGGGTGTTTGGGGCGGGTGTCGTCAAGTTGGGTGACGTGGAATTAGAAGTGATCTCTGAAGCCACGTCCAGACATCCAGGAGTTTTACCGCCGCCATCTTTACTCCCAGACTTCTAAAACATCAACAAAGATTCACACCAGCAAACATTCACACCTCTCTCATGAATTCACACCAAAACTGTTACAGCAGCAGAAGTGACAGCTGGGCTGTGAGTGGGTTTTATTTCAGCTGATGATGTCAGCCGTGGACTCACGGGTTTCGACGCCGGCTTGGGTTTCTGCTGCAACGCTTTTCTGGCTTTTGCAGCGGCAGCTTGGGCCTGATGAATCCGCTCTGGGTAAGAAAAAAAAAAAGAAAAAAAATAACATTTTAAAGATATTTCCAGCTTGAAATGTCGTTTCACTCGTGGAGCGTTGAAAAAAAAAAAAACATTTTAAAGATATTTCCAGCTTGGAATGTCATTTCGCTCGTGGAGCGTTGTGTCGCTCACCAAACTCCTCCTGACTGCGGTCACGGTGAAGGTAGATCCAGAGTTTGCGGCCGATGTCGTACTTCACACAGGGATCTTTCTCGTAGTGAAGTCTGTCCAGAGCTCCACTGACCACGGTGTTCACCTGAGGGAGAGGGAAACAACCAGGAGGTGTCAGCTCTAAACTTTGGTCAAAGACCCAAACCAGAACAAACACAACAACCACCTGAGCACTGGTGACGTCTGGAGCAAGAAACTGAGAGTCCTTCAGCAGCTCACAGATCTCTGCTCGTGTTCCTTCCCCGTTAGGTAACCTGGCTGCTGCATCACGAACTGAGAAGAGAAAACATTCAGAAGAAAGACGTTAGTTTTTGATTCGCTCCACCTTAAAAATATAAAAAGTGAAGTCGAAGGCCAACCCAGGGAGAGAATGGTGACGTATGGCGGTCGGTCGGAGCGCAGCAGTGTGTGTTCCCTGGCTTTGTTCAGTGACATCTCTTTGTCAAACACTCCTTTCACTGGTCCAACCACAGACTCGAAGCCATGCATCCTGAAGGTGAAGGCCTTGTGAGGCTGGTTGTAGCGCTGCAGCTCCTGGAGCACAAACATCACAGGAGGTTTGAATGTGTTTGTCAGGTTGAAAACCAGAGCTTTTTTAAAAGGACAAACCTGAACTTGGAACACTTGTCTCTCGTCTCCAGTGCTGGGACGAACCACGTAATCGGTGGAGTTGCTGCGTGTGTTAGAGACACAACACCATGAAAACACAGACACTGACACTGGAACTGAACAATTAGACCTCATTATGTTTATTATCTAATAATTATCCACAACAGTGTCAATTGTTCGTCTAACGAGTCGGTGAATCTCACATTTTTTGCGTGGGTGAGGTCATCTCCAGCAGGTCCTCATTTTCTGTCTGATGATGATGACGATGATGAAGACGAGGAAAAGAATTGAAACACAGTTAAACCAGAAACCAGTGATTTTTTATGATTTTATGTATTGCAGTATATCGTATCGTATCGTTGCACCTGTATCGTGTAACGTATCGTATCGACAGATTCTACCTTGACAACTAAGTCCTTGGAGTCCAGCCACAGTTGACAAAGTGCACTGAGATCTTTCTCTGTGTCCTGGGTGGGACCTGCAGCACATGGTGGATGTTAATCTCAATAAAAATATATTCAAAAAATAATGTTTTTTTAAAACATCCAATAAGTTCTCACCAATCCACCTCCACTGCTGAAAATCCTCAGAAAACTCAACAAAGGGAGAAAAGCCGCTGGGCAGGGCAATCATTCCATCTGCAAACGCAGAATTTTATTGTTATATTATGTTATTTTATTTACTTACTACAAGTTATTTGTCAGAGAAATGTATTATTTCTTACCTTTGGTTTCTCCTGCAAGAAACTGCAGCGCTTGAAGAACCAACTCTGACCAACAGGAGGCAGAAGAAAACCAGGGGTTGAGCGAACTGGCCGGAGACGACTGCCACAGCAGAACTTTCTCTTCCAGCTGACAAAAAAAATGACAAAGTCACGTGAATGAACCACGAGGATGGAGTGAGTTTGGTAACAGGTGATGTCAGTGAACGCACCGTGGAGGTGGTGGACAGGACCTCCGCCCTCAGGATGTTCTGCAACAGGCTGAAGAAACTGACAGATATTTCCTCCACGGCCAGGGGGCTGCTCTGAGCCTCCTCCGATGGAGTGGACAAAACAAACAAACAAACAAACAAACAACAGAAATGTTGTTAAACCGGATGTGATGATACATGTTTTTTTAACCAAATGAGCTCCAGACAAACTGTGATTAAATCCACTGATCCTGACGTCTGGGTTTAACAGTGGATCTCAACCAACGTTTTTAGGCGCATACTGCCACCTACTGTACTAGAGTGTGTAGTGTCTTATATGACACTACATGATGCGAACCGTCACCCATTTGTATGGAAATACTGATTTGTTAATATGTTTCATGAAGCAGGAAACCCAGACAGAGAGAGGACGGATGAACGGGGACTCACTCCTCCTTGATGTTGACCAGGGGAGTCGAAGGGGCCTCAGGCAGGGAGGTGATGCTGATGTTTCCCAGCGGAGCGGACGGGGTGTCTGCAGGAGTGAGGGAGTCAAACAGTTCCTCAGATTCCACTTTGATGGGCCTGATTTTCTTTTTCCTCCTCTCATCCTTCATCTTCTTCTTTGGCAGGGACAGATCAAAGAGTGCTGGGGACGACAGAGACAAAGACAAAGACCAATGGTCATCGACATCATAAGGACTGCACTTTACAAGTATTGAGTATTTTCACAACAGTACTCACACATTGTCCCCTTACGACCAATATTTGTTCTTGAAAGGATGTCGGCGAGTTGGATGTCAGAGGTCATCAGGTCTGGATCGTCCTGGATAAATGGACACTCCTTTAAATGACATTTTCACAACTGACAGTGTAAAAAATGTTTTTTTTATTTTGTTTTCTTTTAAACTTACAGGCTGGCGTTTTCTCTTTTCTCTGTGGTTTTGCAGCATGACCTTCAAGTCCTGTTCACCCAGCTCAACTTTTTCTGTGTGAGAAGTGAACATTATTATCAACAGGACAGCAGAAGAACTTCCTGACGTCGCTGAAGAAATGCAATGTTTATATTATTTTATATTGAAATTTTCTTTTTCTAATTTTATCATATATGACCGGTCTAATTCCTGATACATGTAATTGTACGGAAACATGACGATCAGAAACGGCACCCATCACTGACCGGCCGTCTTCATGTCTTGAGTGGAGAGGCTGTGGAGAACCCTGAGAGGCACGGTGGGGGTCGGAGAAGAAGGTGACGGTGGTGCTGGGTTCCATAATGACACGTCTACAGGTGTAGGAGAAAACAAAAAGGAGTTTGTGAGATTTTAGCACTCCATGTGTTGAATACTGTTTAATCTGTTGTCATTTCACTTTGTTTTATACTGTTGTTTCATCAGTTTATGGGTACAACAACACAGACACAGAGCATCCAACGATAGAGAACACTCACCATCATCGTCAGATGAAGGATTGCTGTCTCCACACTCATTTTTGACCTCTTTTAAAATGCGGTTTATTCTTCTCTTCACTCTTGGCTCTCGCTTCTCCGCACGAGTCTTTGTCTGGAACTTTCTTTTGGGTGAGAAGTCCAGGCCGTTTTGAGTTGCAACCTCAACCAGCTCCTACAAAGAGAGGACATAATTAGATTAACTAGGAAAGATGGGTGCGTTTTATGTCAAAGTTTTCTTAAAAGGAAGACATCAATAAAGACCGAACCTTTCTGGAGACAAGAATCTGCTTCAGGAGTCGGTGGTAGTACTGCTGCAGGGAGTACAGCTGCCGCTTTCTCTGAGACTTGGCACACAACTGTCTGTACTTGACCACCTCAGGGTTAAAGTAACCATCTGTGTTCAGATAATAATGATTAAAAAGACTCTGACATAGTTTTCATTCTGTGTATTACAGTAGTTAAACAGAAATATCACCTCTGAATAGTTTCTGCGCAAGATGAACGGGGTTTCCAAAGTGGACGTTTCTGTCGTTGAACAGGTCACTGATGACACTCTCCTGTTCTGAACTATTGTTTTCAGGAAACTGTGGTAAGAACTGACGAAGGTGCTGCCTCTGGGAATCTGTCAGGACTTCAGTCCAGGTGCTTTCACTCATCACAGAGAAGAAAATCTCGGGCTGTTGAAAGCAATGGACGCGACAAGCACTTTTAGTCAATGTTTATGGGTACGTGGCTAACTAACAACAGACAGACAAGCCGGAAACTCACATCCTCAAGTAAGTCCTCTGGAAGGCTGACTACGGTGTTTCCCAACAGACATTCTTCTGTGATCTGGCCGTGGTTTTCTTCTTTTGGATCCAGCGCATCTGAAAGCATGTGTGCCAGGGCATCCATTCTTTATACGTCTGTTTACAAAAAACAAAGTTGTAATCTCTGGATGTTGGTCTTAGACATAGACTAAATTTGCTAACTATTAGGTTAAACCCCTGAATGATAACTTAGCTAAGGCACGAATGACTTACGATAACAAGCATTTACAAATGTCAACATTAGCTTCTTTGTAAACAAAGCCCTGTTAGCAGTTGAAGCAATCAACAATCGCTATAAAATATCTGGCCTAATGATAAATGTTTCTCTTCTACCTTTAAACGAGGGTTTATTAAAATATAATAACAACGTAAACGTTCGTAATAACATACTAGTAACTAAGGACCTCTGATATTATGACCGACACGACTTTATTTCCGGAAGCAGAATGGGGAATGTGTTTAACCGCGGACCATTTTCTTCTTCTACTCGACAATTTGTACAACGATTTACAACGATTGCTGCCCTCTTTCGGAGAGTATTTCCCATACCACTGCATAAATGGTAATCAGTCTTTGACTAACGTTGCTTTTTTTGTTATCAACGCTTACTGTGCTCTTGGTAGTTTCGGCAAAACCTTCGACCGTATAAGAATTCCAATTGTCAATGTTTAATATAGTAATTGTTGTGTTATTATCAACACTGACCTGTTAGCATTTGGCTAATGTTCGAAACTTGGCGCCTCTCACGGCCTTCAGTGCGTTATTTTTCGTGTAAGTACAGAACTTTAAAAATACATATTCGCAATTTATATTGATTTTATTGTGTATGAATAAAAATATGACATTTTCATAATTTATTAATTTTCATAATATGACATTTTCATAATTTATTAATTTTAATTTTTACTTTAATATTTTTACAGGGCGTGTCTAACGCACGTTTGAAAGCTCAATAATTTCTGCATACAGATGTCACATTATTTTACTAAAGTTAGAAAAATACATATTTTATTAGTTTTTCCTCCATGTTCCTTACTTGATTTGCATTTTCAACTGTAAAAATATATGGAGAAAATTTACAAAAGACAAAGATGACGGATCTAAAAAATTGTGGGACATTTAATTTATATAAAAACTTAAGCTCAAAGACACTGGTGTGTTTAGGCTAAAATAGAATCAGTATAAACAGCTTGGGTAATTTTGTAAAAAAATAAGTTAGGTTTCCTATACTTTCCCTGCTCTGCAGTACATACACCCACTGGAGCCAAACTTTGGTTCATCTCTGTGGACTTGCTCCACCTCTTTGTGATGCTGTAATGTACGGTCAAGCCCTCCACCTCATACCACAGCATGACAGAGTCAACATGACTGACGCTGCCCTTCACAAATCCTCACTAACACTATTCTGCTATGTTTGACGCAGTCTTGGACATCAGGAGTCGGAAAACTTTGAGGTAAAAAAAAAAACCTTTTCGTGTTTCCCTTCAGGTTTGGGTCTTAATGCCCCGGGAGGATGGCAGAGGTAGCAGATGGAGAGGAAGAGATTCAATTCCTGCGTACAGTAAGTGATGCCATCTCCACTACTTCATGTATTAGTTACTGTATTCTGTCAGAATGTACTCACAAAAACCCAGCTTTTGTGTACTGAAAAGAGACCAGAGATCAGTACTTTTGGTATTTCTGTGTCCCTTCTTCTCAGGCTCAGATTGACACAGACAGGTGATGTGTTCTGTTGGCATTGTTGTCTATTTTTATCCCACAGGCTCAATATGTTACTGTTAGGAAAGCTCATCTGCTGCCAGGTGACAGACACAGACACAGACACAGAGTCCACAGTGATTACAGTATGTCTTGTTTGTTTAGATCAGAGTTACAGGGAGTCGTTGTTTCCCTCTGACCACAGACGTTTAGATCAGAGTTACAGGGAGTCGTTTCCCTCTGACCACAGAAATTGTTTTATGATATTACTGAAGTTGTTTACATTTGAAAGGGCTAAAAGTTCCTCTTTTTTCTGGCTACTGTTTAATGCAGGAAGGAAGACACGTTTATGTACAGTGATGATGAGTCAAAGCACTCCATTTAAATATAACCTGATTACCATTTGACGGCGTTGCTCTTTTAAACGCGTTTAATCCCTTTTTAAATGTGTGCACATCCAGAAGCAGGTGTCCGGCGTCTTTGAACACACCATCCCAGTTAAAACAAGCGTGTCATAACGTCTTTGACGGCCTGGTACTGTTGTACCCTGAACTATATTTACGTTGTGTGAGGATTAGCAGGTTCAGGTCCTTGACCACTTCAGCAGCTGCTTTCTTCAGTTCACATCAGACCAGCGACGACGACTGAAGCACCGACGCTGACTTTATTATTAGAAGGAGGTTACTGTCATGTTTGACTCTCAGATTGTCAGACGGAAATCAGTGTTTGAAAGGAATCAGTCAAACTAGTGACTATTTCTTATTCTAGAGAAAAGTGAGAAAAGTTCTTATCTCTTCTTATCTAAGTTCTTGTCTAAATCTCAGAGTTAAAAAATAAATTCCATTCTATTTTTATTTATGGCCAACAGTAACTAAAAATATCAAAGTTTAAAAATGTGAGTTGAGGATCTCAGGAACACATGTACAAGGTACCGATGAGTGACTGCTTCTGAAGGGAAAGTACAACATTTCTCACCAACAGCCAATCCCAGCACCGTTGTCACAGAGAAGGGAAACTGACGCATTAAACACGGGCAGTTTGTGCTGTGCAAACATGTGGCTCACGGTCCACACAGAGGCCTGTTTTTTTAGTTTTTGTGGTCCAAACATCTGGAACATTCTCCAAGTGCTGGTCTGCAGAAACAGTTCAGCCTGAGAACCTACTGTTCTGTCTGTTTGTCAGCCTGCATTTCCTGCTGCCCCCCCCCCTCACACACATCCCAAGTTTGAACCCCTGTGTTCTTAGAAAGACCGAACATTCATGACATCATCAAGTGAAGGATGTGGAGCAGTTTGTTTCCTGTGTCTCATCTTTGATTTCTGTCTCTGTCCAGAAAAGGGACGTGTGAACAGCAGGTGCTGCAGCCTGAAATAGAGAGCAGTGGGGAAGAGGGGGGGAGAGGGAGGAGGGTGAGGGAGGAGGGGGAGAGATTAAAGCTGTGGCAGTGACAGAGACATTTACTTACAGGAAAAATACATCTGAAGGTCAAGAAATGGTATATTTATAGAGGGGGGGGGGTAGAGAGAGAGAGAGAGAGCAGGTGTTTTGTAGGTCACTGTGTTGTTGTTCTGTGTTCAGGTTTAACATACACCACACACTGAACCCACATTTTTATTTATAATATTTTATATTGTATTTTGTTAACTCCATAAAGGAGATTTTTATGTTTAAATTTAAATGTTCCTGTGCAGGACGACCAGGTGGTGCTGCAGTGCACGGCCTCAATACTGAAGGAGCAGATCAAGGTGTGTCTGTCCTGTGAGGGGTTCGGGAACCGTCTGTGTTTCCTGTAGACCACGTCAAACGCTCAGGTAGTGAAGAAGAAGAAGAAGAAGAAGAAAAAGTCCGATCTGTTCATCGTGTCTTTGATTGACAGTTGAACTCTTCTCTTCTGTCCCAGAATGTCCCTCCAGACCTGGCCATCTGCTGCTTCATCCTGGAGCAGTCTCTCTCTGTGCGAGCCCTTCAGGAGATGTTGTCCAACTCCTCTGTAGATGAGGTGCAGTAGTAGTTAGTACTAAAAGAGTACTCCTAATGAAGTACTACTACCAGCTGGACAGTTAATAAGAACTAATCATGTTTTTTTTTTCACTCTCTCACCTGTGAACTCCAGGCCGTGGATCTGGACAAATGGGTGAGTTTTGTTTTTGTCGGGTTTCCCATAAGTCACTGCTGCACCGCCTTAGACTGTACACAGGAAGTGGATGTAGCTGTAGTCCCAGTGATGTTAAAGTGACAAAAATAAACTAAGAAAAAGTTTAAAAAAATATAAATAATATTGTAACTCGTAAACATAGATAGAATGATTAGCATATATTCAACTTCCTGTTTCTCAAAATGTGCTCAAAACGTGTACTGCTGCATTGACGTCACAATAATCGTTTTTATTTTGATTGTCTTGTTTTCATGTTCGTGAAAAGACAAAATATAAAAACCTGAGGTCAACTCTGCTCCACCTTTGTCTTCCAGTCGTCACAGGGCGGAGGTCACCGTACCCTCCTGTATGGACATGCGATTCTGCTGAAACACACTCACTCCAACATGGTGAGGCCTTCCTTCAGTTTGTTCTGCTCTCACATCCTTGACGTGTGTGTGTGTGAATCTCAGTGTGTGTGTGTGTGTGTGTCTCCGCCCCTCAGTATCTCAGCTGTCTGACCACGTCACGCTCCCTGACGGACAAACTGGCGTTCGATGTTGGCCTCCAGGAGGACTCCACAGGTAGACGAGCCTTATGTTGAACACCACCACCCTCAGTTGCTGTGCTGTGTTCCTAACTCTGTGTGGTCACAGGAGAGGCCTGCTGGTGGACCATCCACCCAGCCTCCAAGCAGAGGTCAGAGGGCGAGAAGGTCAGGGTGGGAGACGACCTCATCCTCGTCAGTGTTTCTTCAGAAAGATACCTGGTAAAAATTTTATCAACTGCCCCCTGACAGTGTGTCGTGTATGAACTGACCAGTAATACCATCACACACACACACACACACCTTTTCAGCATCTGTCGTACGCCAGCGGTGACCTGATGGTGGACGCTTCCTTCATGCAAACGCTGTGGACCATGACTCCAGTCATGTCGGGATGTGAACTGGCTGAAGGTCGGTCTTTGATCCCAGAGGTCGTCAGTCTGTCAGTAAGTGGTCAGTCTTACACCCTGTCTGTGGTCTGACTGTCGGTCTGCAGGGTTTCTGATTGGAGGATATGTTCTGAGGCTGTTCCACGGTCACATGGACGAGTGCTTGGCCATACCAGGAGCCGAACAAGGAGACGAGCAGCGCAGGTCAGGCGTCCGTCTGTGCCAGAGGTTTTTAAATATCAATCTCTTCCTCAGTCGTCAGTTATTGATTTTCTTTCTTCTCTAGTGATTCCAAATGTTCTTGGTTTATTGACAGACTGATGTTAATGATGAAGAAGACATTAAAGAATCTTTTGTTTCTTTAATTCTTTAAGAGTCGTCCACTACGAAGGAGGCGCCGTCTGCAGTCACGCCCGGTCTCTGTGGAGACTCGAGCCTCTGCGTATCGCGTAAGTGTCGTCCAACGGCAGGAGATGTGAACGTCAATTCCACCGAGACCTCACTTTTCAGGGTTTTTTTTACCCCCTCGTCTGTTCCTGTCCACAGGTGGAGCGGGGGTCACATCAAATGGGGCCAGTCTTTCCGAATCCGTCACATAACCACGGGCAGATACCTCTTTTTGGATGAAGAGAAGGGGCTGCTGCTGGTGGATCCTGAGAAAGCTGTTTCCAAGATGGCCGCCTTCTGCTTCAGAATATCAAAGGTCAGTTTATCGCTTTCAGGTAAATCCACCTCTTCTCTCTCTCTCTTTAACTTTAACTCTGGTGCAGATGTGAACGGGGAGTCATGAGGGACGTGTATATTCTCTGTGTGCACAGGAAAAAATCGAAGTGACCCAGAAGCGAGACGTGGAAGGGATGGGCATCCCTGAGATCAAGTACGGAGAGTCCATGTGTTTCGTGCAGCACGTGGCCTCGGGCCTGTGGCTGACCTACGCCGCGGTCGACGCTAAATCTGCTCGTCTGGGTCCGTTGAAGAGGAAGGTAGAGTAGTCGGTCATGTAGTGCCATCGTGACCCGACACGACCTTCTGCAGGTCATCAGTTCATCTGCCGTGTGTTTACCCTCAGGCCATACTTCATAAAGAAGGTCACATGGATGACGCACTGACGGTGGCCCGCTCTCAGACCGAGGAGTCTCAAGCGGCCAGGATGATCTTCAGCACCACTGGGCTCTTCAACCAGTTCATCAAGTAAGTCTAGGACAGACCGACTGACGGTGAAGACCTCTCCGCTCCTGCTGGTGTGTCGTTGAAACTCCTTCACTGTTTCCAGAGGTCTGGACGCCCTGAGTGGGAAGAACAAGTCGGCCAATCCCCTGTCTTTACCCATGGATGCGGTCGTCCTCTCCCTGCAGGATCTCATTTTCTACTTCCGCCCCCCGGAGGAGGAGCTGGAGCACGAGGACAAACAGTTCAAGCTGCGTTCCCTCAAGAACAGACAGAATCTTTTCCAGGAGGAGGTTTGTTTACTGCGGTTGAAGGGAAATTAACGCCCTGCTTAGCTCCGCCCATTCTACAGTTTGACATATGTGGTTTCCATGGTAACATCAAAGTAATATTAAAGTAACAAAGTTAACTACCAACCCAGTGGTTCCTGACTGTTTTCAATTCAAATTCAAATGTTTTTTGTTATCGATTACTGACGTCTTTATATTCAGTGAGTTTCCACTGTGTTGATCAGGGAATGATTACTCTGGTGCTGGACTGCGTGGATCGACTCAACGTCTACAACACGGCGGCTCATTTCTCAGAATACGCCGGGGAGGAGGCCGCAGAGTCGTGGAAGGAGATCGTCAACCTGCTGTATGAACTTCTAGGTACAGGTTCTCCTCAGACTCTGGAGTCCAGTCATCAACGATGAGTGAATTAACGAAGGTTTGTGTCGTTATTTTTCTCAAGCTTCTTTAATCAGAGGCAACCGTGCAAACTGTGCCCTGTTCTGTGACAACCTGGACTGGCTGGTCAGCAAACTGGACCGTTTGGAGGCGTCCTCAGGTACCTGTCATCACCTGCTTCAAGATTTATTCAATTTTTTTCAATTTTTTTTTCTTTAAAAACCAACCAAGTGTTCTGGTTTCCCAGGAATCCTGGAGGTTCTGTACTGTGTTCTGATTGAAAGTCCAGAGGTGCTGAACATAATCCAGGAGAATCACATCAAGTCCATCATCTCTCTGCTGGATAAACACGGACGCAATCACAAGGTTCGGGACGATGCGGTGACGTCTGGATGTTTCAGTCGTGAACACGTCACCACTGTTTGGTCTTTGATTTGTTCTGATCCAGTCTTGCTGTCCCTCTGGGTTCTTCAGGTTCTGGATGTTCTCTGTTCTCTCTGTGTTTGTAATGGAGTGGCCGTCAGATCCAACCAAAACCTCATCACCGAGAACCTCCTCCCAGGTCGTGACCTCCTACTTCAAACCAGCATTATCAACTATGTAACCAGGTGAGAACGTTCACATGAGTGCAGATCAGAACCAGCGCCCGACACCTGGTAAGGCCCTGACCCACGGTTTTGGACTCTTCTTTCAGCATGAGGCCCAACATCTTCCTTGGAACCTGTGAAGGATCTACTCAGTACAGGAAGTGGTATTTTGAGGTGATGGTGGACCAGGTGGACCCCTTTCTCACCGCCCAGCCGTACCACCTGCGTGTGGGCTGGGCTCTGACGGAGGGCTTCAGTCCTTACCCTGGTGGAGGGGAGGGATGGGGGGGCAACGGAGTCGGGGACGACCTTTACTCCTACGGCTTCGACGGTCTCCACCTTTGGTCAGGTGGGTGTGTCCGTCGGCGGCAGGTCGTAGACGAACACCAAAGGTTTGTCATGTCACTCACTCTGTGTCTGCGTTTTTAACAGGACGCGTTCCACGACATGTTGCCACGCCCTATGAACACACTCTGGCTGCAGAGGACGTGGTCAGCTGCTGTCTGGATCTGAGCGTGCCCAGTATTTCCTTCCGCATCAACGGTCATCCAGTTCAGGGAATGTTTGAGAACTTCAACCTGGACGGCCTGTTTTTCCCCGTGGTCAGCTTCTCCGCAGGCGTGAAGTAAGACATCGATGTTGATGCATTTCAGTTGAAAAAATTGAACAAATCATGTGTTAATAAAATATATATCCACACACACGATTAGTCACACGTTCGTCCTCTGATTCGAAGGTTGAGATTCCTCCTCGGAGGTCGTCATGGGGACTTCAAGTTCCTCCCACCTCCAGGCTACGCTCCGTGTTATGAAGCGGTTCTGCCCAGGGACCGATTGAGGATCGAACATATTAAAGAATATAAGCACGACTTTGACGGCGTCCGTAACCTGTTGGGTCCGACCCAGTCCCTCTCTCACACAGCCTTCACGCCGTGTCCCGTGGATACCATTCAGGTAAGACCTCGGCCCTCCTCCTGTCCGTCCACACCGTCTCCTCCACCGCGCTGACGTGAACTTCCTTTCAGATTGTCCTTCCTCCTCATCTGGAGCGGATCCGGGAGAAACTCGCCGAAAACAGTCATGAATTATGGGCCGTGACTCGCATCGAACAAGGATGGACCTACGGCCCAGTGAGTCCGAGGCGATGAACGTTCAAAAACTGTTGAAACACGGTTGAATTTTTCATCTTCATCTTTTCTGGTCAACGTGACAGTTTCGTGACGACAACAAGAAGCTCCACCCCTGCCTGGTGGATTTCCAGAGTTTGCCGGAACCAGAGAAGAATTATAACTTAGCCATGTCAGGAGAAACTCTGAAGTGAGTTCATAAAATGTTTTTATAAAGTGAATCGATGTTTTCTCAGACCTCTAGTCCTGACAGACAACATGTCAACTATCTTTGAAGGACTCTGCTGGCTCTGGGCTGCCATGTTGGGATGGGGGATGAAAAAGCAGAGGAGAATCTGAAAAGGACTAAACTCCCCAAAACGTGAGACACATGACATTTATTTTTTTTATTTTTTTCACCTTCAGCTTCAGTCTTCTGGTTGGGACCTGTGGACCTCTCACTGATCATGAACTCTTGTTTGTCAGTTACATGCAGTCCAGTGGGTACAAACCCGCTCCTCTGGATCTGAACCACGTCAAACTGACCCCCAATCAAAACACGCTGGTGGAGAGACTGGCAGAAAATGGACACAACGTCTGGGCACGAGACAGGGTTCGACAGGGCTGGACCTACAGTATAATGCAGGTACTGTTCAGTCTGGAGGAGAGGTCCAGGAGCAGAAGCTGGAAAGATGAAAATGTTGGGATTTTTTTTTCTGTAGGACATAATGAACAAGAGAAACCCCCGCCTGGTTCCTTACAACCTGCTGGATGAGAAGACCAAGAAGACCAACAGAGACACGGTCTGTGCAGCCGTCCGCACTCTCATTGGATATGGTTACAACATCGAACCACCTGATCAGGAGAGCAGTAAGTCTGAGCCGTCAGTTATACACGAGGTGGATTCAAAATATGCACCACGGTCCTCTGAGATGCACACAGTGATAAATAAAATACGTCACTGAGGGTTAACCACGTCCCTCTGAGATGCACACAGTGATAAATAATAATAATACGTCACTGAGGGTTAACCATGTGATGCAGGTGGACATGGACCAGGCAGCTCCCGTGGAGACAAGATCAGAGTTTTCCGAGCAGAGAAGTCCTACGCCGTCACTCAGGGGAAGTGGTACTTTGAGTTTGAAGCCGTGACGGTCGGGGAGATGAGAGTGGGCTGGGCCAGACCCAGTGTCCGTGCAGACACTGAACTGGGTGGAGATGATTTGGCCTACGTCTTCAATGGCTTCAAGGTAAGAAGAACGTGACGTTTGATGACGTTCACACATGCTCGTTGTACCAAACACCCACAACAACAACCATCTGACCTTCTCCAGGCTCAGCGTTGGCACGTGGGCAGCGAGCCCTTCGGTCGCCAGTGGCAGTCTGGAGACGTGGTGGGCTGCATGATCGACCTGATCGAGATGAACATCATGTTCACGCTCAACGGAGAAATGTTGATCAGTGACTCCGGCTCTGAAATGGCCTTCAAGGATATTGAGATTGGAGAAGGTCAGTCCACCAGGTGGCGACGGAGAGGTGACACAGAGTGAACATCACATCAATACATTACTGTGTCTGTCCTGTAGGCTTCATCCCTGTGTGCAGTCTGGGTCTGTCCCAGGTGGGAAGGATCAACCTGGGTCAGAACGTCAGCAGCCTTCAGTACTTTACCATCTGCGGCCTGCAGGAGGGATTTGAACCGTTCGCCATCAACATGAAGAGAGACATCACCATGTGGTTCAGTAAAAGTCTTCCTCAGTACATGGCCGTGCCCACTGACCATCCCCACATCGAGGTGACCTTTCTTTTGGAGCCAAAGTCGTTCTTCCTGGTCATTTGTTTGCTGTGTCACAACTATATGTTCATTATGTCTCCACTAGGTGTCCCGTGTGGACGGGACAGTAGAAACTGCCCCTTGTCTCAAGGTGACCCACAAAACATATGGATCCCAGAACTCCAACACGGACCTGCTGTTCTTCAGACTCAGCATGCCCATAGAGTTCCACGAGACCTTCAAAGTTCCAGCAGGGACCACGCTTCTCACCCGCACGATGACCATCCCCGAAGACGAAGTCCTGGAGGTCGACCCCGACTCCGACTTTGAAATACTCAAGAAGTCGGCCACTCGCAAAGAGCAAGAGGAGGAGAAGAAGGAGCCGTCCGTGCCCAAGGAGATCCCCGCCGTCAAGAATGGAGAGAATGAGAAGGACGCCTCCACGGAGAAGAGCAAGAAGAAGGGGTATTAACTCCTGCCCCTCTCTCCTGCCCTACCAGGAGAACAGGTCTCAGTCTAACTGCCCCTGTCCTCCACAGGTTCCTCTTCAAGGCCAAGAAGGCTGCTTTGATAACGCCCCCACCTGTCGTGCCCACCATGCCCCGCTTGGTGGAGGACGTGGTGCCGGATGACAGAGACGACATGGACATCATCCTCAGCACCACCACAGTAGGACCACGACTGCATTCACATCTACACCCAGTCCCAGAAAAGATGGCACATAAAATGCAATATACATTAAAATATATTTTTAAATAGATAGAATTTTTTAAAATGAATATACTGTAGCCAACAGCAGAGTGGTAGAAGTACTGAACTGAGTGCTCCTTTATTAGGAGATTTATGGCTCACCAGTCTGTCCCAGGTGGGAAGGATCAACCTGGGTCAGAACGTCAGCAGCCTTCAGTACTTTACCATCTGCGGCCTGCAGGAGGGATTTGAACCGTTCGCCATCAACATGAAGAGAGACATCACCATGTGGTTCAGTAAAAGTCTTCCTCAGTACATGGCCGTGCCCACTGACCATCCCCACATCGAGGTGATCTTTCTTTTGGAGCCAAAGTCGTTCTTCCTGGTCATTTGTTTGCTGTGTCACAACTATATGTTCATTATGTCTCCACTAGGTGTCCCGTGTGGACGGGACAGTAGAAACTGCCCCTTGTCTCAAGGTGACCCACAAAACATATGGATCCCAGAACTCCAACACGGACCTGCTGTTCTTCAGACTCAGCATGCCCATAGAGTTCCACGAGACCTTCAAAGTTCCAGCAGGGACCACGCTTCTCACCCGCACGATGACCATCCCCGAAGACGAAGTCCTGGAGGTCGACCCCGACTCCGACTTTGAAATACTCAAGAAGTCGGCCACTCGCAAAGAGCAAGAGGAGGAGAAGAAGGAGCCGTCCGTGCCCAAGGAGATCCCCGCCGTCAAGAATGGAGAGAATGAGAAGGACGCCTCCACGGAGAAGAGCAAGAAGAAGGGGTATTAACTCCTGCCCCTCTCTCCTGCCCTACCAGGAGAACAGGTCTCAGTCTAACTGCCCCTGTCCTCCACAGGTTCCTCTTCAAGGCCAAGAAGGCTGCTTTGATAACGCCCCCACCTGTCGTGCCCACCATGCCCCGCTTGGTGGAGGACGTGGTGCCGGATGACAGAGACGACATGGACATCATCCTCAGCACCACCACAGTAGGACCACGACTGCATTCACATCTACACCCAGTCCCAGAAAAGATGGCACATAAAATGCAATATACATTAAAATATATTTTTAAATAGATAGAATTTTTTAAAATGAATATACTGTAGCCAACAGCAGAGTGGTAGAAGTACTGAACTGAGTGCTCCTTTATTAGGAGATTTATGGCTCACCACGTCTTCTTCTTCTTCTTCTTTTTCTTTTTCTTTATCTTTTTATTCTTCTTCTCCTTCTTTTTCCAGTATTATTATTCGGTGCGGATCTTTGCGGGGCAGGAGCCTGGTGGTGTCTGGGTGGGTTGGATCACCCCTGACTATCATCAGTACGACCTTCATTTTGACCTCAGCAAAGTGAGAAACGTGACGGTCACTGTAGGCGATGATAAAGGCAACATTCATGACAGGTATATATGAACATATGTTTTATATATTATATATTTATATATTAATAACGTGGTGATCTGCCTCTGATTACTTCTGTCTGTCTTTGTTAGTATCAAACGCAGTAACTGCTACATGGTTTGGGGCGGGGAGTTTGGCAGCTCTCAGCAGACCCGGGTTAGTCAGGAGGATTTGATCATTGGTTGTCTCGTTGACTTGGACACTGGACTAATGACCTTCACCACTAATGGAAAAGAGATCAACACATTTTACCAGGTGTGTGATTTTTTCTTTTTTTTAATTTGTCTTAGTTCCTTTTCAGTCTCGTTCTCTAACTGCAGACGTGTCAACATTAACATCTCGTTCTCTAACTGCAGACGTGTCAATGTTCACGTCCTACAGGTGGAACCAAACACAAAACTCTTCCCTGCCGTCTTTGTCCTTCCTTCGAGTCAGAATATGATTCAATTTGAACTCGGAAAACTGAAGGTCAGTCTGTGAATCTTCAGAGAACACTTTACCTCTGCACCACTGTTGTCTCAGCGTCAAACGTTTCCACTGTGACCCGTCTCCCCAGAACATCATGCCCATCTCTACTGCCATGTTTCGGAGCGAACGCAAGAACCCCGTCCCCCAGTGCCCTCCCCGACTGGACGTTCAGATGTTAACGCCCGTGATATGGAGCCGCATGCCCAACCACTTCCTGGCTCCAGAGACAGGGCGTGCCAGTGAGAGGCTGGGCTGGGTGGTCCACTGTCAGGAGCCCCTGACCATGATGGCCCTGCACATCCCAGAGGAGAACAGGTCAGAACCTTCTGTGGTAAACCTCCGGTCTAAATGTTCTGGTCAGAGGTCCTCACTCCTGTGCCGTGTTTCTTTGCAGGTGTATCGACATCCTGGAGCTCTCAGAGCGTATGGACCTGCTGACGTTCCACTACCACACTCTGAAACTCTACGGCTGTGTGTGCGCTCTGGGCAACAACCGCGTGGCCCACGCCCTTTGTAGCCACGTGGATGAGTCCCAGCTCTTTTACGCCATAGAGAACACCTACCTCCCTGGGCCAATGAGGAGCGGGTTCTATGACCTGCTGATCAGCATGCACCTGGAGTCTGCCAAGAGGAACCGACTGGGAACCAACAGGGAGTTCATTGTTCCGATGACGGATGAGACGCGCAGCATCACGCTCTACGCTAAATGTCACGCCTTACCAGGGGTCGGCCTCACCACCTGTCTCCGCCCCAAGCTTCATTTCTCTTCCGTCGGATTTGTGGGAACAGATCCAGACATCTACACGCTGAGTCCAGTTATACCCCTGGAGGTGAGGCGCTGCTCCTACTGGCTAATGATGGTAGCACTTAAAACAAACAAACACTTCTGATCATAACAAGCCAAACCCGATTCTGCTGCCCCCTAGTGCTAAGTAACGTTTATACACATTTTTAACAACAAAAATATACTTTTTAAATAAGCTTGAAATTTGTCTGCACAGCACTGTTAAAATGTACACCTGTAGTACTCGTCTGCCACCAGTAGGCTTGATGTTCGACAGCACCTTAACATGTCATCCAAACACTCTGATTGGCTGCACAGGGAGATGAAGGTTGGGGGAACACACCAACATACACTTCTAATGAAGGAGATTAAATTTGTCCATTTTTATGTTTTTTTTTTATAAAACTGTTACAACATTTTGAGACAAATTTTTCTGATGTTGTTTCTCTCACCAGGTGCTGAAGACAAAAGCTCTGAACATGCTGACGGAGGCGGTACAGGACGGAGGTCAAGCCATGAGAGATCCTGTAGGGGGCAGCGTGGAGTTCCATTTTGTTCCGATCCTGAAGCTCATCAGCACCCTCCTCATCATGGGTGTGTTCAACGATGAAGATGTCACTCACATCCTGAAGATGATCGAGCCCACGGTCTTCAGTGGCAGGAAAACAGAGGAGCACACCGAGGAGAGTGTCAAGGTGAAGGAACAGAAGGAACTGAAGCCTCCCCCAAAGGTGAGGGAGGAGGTGCAGCAGGAGGCGTCTGAGGACGATGGCTTAGGGGAAGATGAGGAGGAGGAAGAGGAGGATGAAGAAGAGATGGAAGAAGAGGAGGAACTGGAGGAGATGGAACCTCTCACGGAGCAGGGTGAGGTCGAGTCCGAACATTTGAACGGTGAAAAAGGAGCAGAGGAAACGGAGAAGGAGGTGAAAGCTGTGGAAGAACATCTGGATCAAGGACTCTTCCAGATGAAGCTCCCTGAGTCTGTCAAACTCCAGGTACGTGTGTCAGTGTCAGGAGTGTCAGCTCCACCGTGTACTGTTGGTGTCGTCACAGTACTACCTCCCTGTACTCGTTGTACTGCAGGTGTGTACTCTGCTGCAGTACTTCTGTGACTGTGAGCTGCGTCACAGGGTGGAGGCCATCATCGCCTTTTCAGACAAGTTTGTCAACGACATACAGTCCAACCAGAGGCGGCGCTACAACGAACTCATGATGGCCTTCACCATGAGTGCGGCCGAGACCGCCCGCAAGACCCGTGAATTCAGGTCGCCTCCGCAAGAGCAGGTGAGAGTGAGAAGGATGGTGTAAAAATGAAAAAGAAATCCTGAAAATATCAGCAGAAGTTTCTTTATTTTTCTCCTTCCTGTCTGACTTCTCTGTTCTGTCAAAGGTCAACATGCTGATGAACTTCAAAAACTGTGCGGAGGATGAAGATTGTCCTGTTCCTGAGGAAGTTCGAGACGCCCTGCAGCTTTTTCACAACGCTCTGCTCTTCCACTGTGGTAGGTTTTTGGTCAAATGTATGTATTTTTGTAACCATTGAAGACAGCTGGTCTTATTGACGTCACCTGGTTTTGATGGTTTTAACCCTCAGGGGTCCACGTTGAAGAGGAGGAGGAAGAGTCAGAGGTGGATAATTCCCTCCGTGGACGACTTCTCCGTCTGTTGGAGAAGGTGAAAAAATTCCGACAAAAGAAGGAAGAGACAGATTCTGAGCCACAGGAGGATAAGAAACCAAGTGAGTCTGAAACACTGAATCACCTCTGGTCAAAAACATGGCCCAGAGTTCACACTGAGTCAGTAAATTTGGACTAAATTGGAATTTGAAGATCATTGTATACGTAGTGTTTCATTACATATACTTTTACGGACATTTTTCCCTGGTGGTGCACCATGGGATTTTTCTGATGTGACATGTGCCGTGGCCTCCAAAGGGTTAGGAAACGCTGCTTTAACCCGTTATGTGGTCTGACTCAAAGGCACTCTGCAGGAGCTGATCTCCCACACCATGATCCACTGGGCCCAGGAGTCACACATCCAGAACCCTGAGCTGGTTCGCATGATGTTCAGCCTCCTGCACAGGCAGTACGACGGTCTGGGCGAACTCATACGAGCTCTTCCCAAGGCCTACACCATCAACCGGGTGTCCATCCAGGACACCATGGATCTGCTGGAGTGCCTGGGTCAGATCCGCTCGCTGCTCATCGTACAGATGGGTCCGGAGGAGGAGAGGCTCATCATCCAAAGCATCGGGTTTGAATCCCAGTCTTTTTAAGGTCTATATCTTGGTTTCATCTTCTTCGTCTCGTTCAGTTTAATTTTGTTTTTTTTTCTTTCTCAGGAACATCATGAGCAACAAAGTTTTCTATCAGCACCCCAACCTGATGCGAGCTCTGGGGATGCATGAAACTGTCATGGAGGTGATGGTGAATGTTCTGGGCGGTGGTGATTCAAAGGTATGACCTCCGACCTCTGTTACCACAACATTAAAACAACTCAAGGATTCACTTTCCTGACGGACCGTCTTCCGACAGGAGATCAGATTCCCGCGGGTGGTGACGAACTGCTGCCGCTTCCTGTGTTATTTCTGTCGCATCAGTCGCCAAAACCAACGCTCCATGTTCGACCACCTCAGTTATCTTCTCCAGAACAGTGGCATTGGTCTCGGTAACGCTGCGTCACGTTCAAGTGTTGATCCCAGAGGTTAACCCCTGACCTGTGATAATTCCAGACTTTGATGTGGTGTCTGTAGGAATGCGAGGCTCCACCCCCCTGGACGTAGCCGCAGCTTCGTGTATCGACAACAATGAACTTGCACTGGCTCTGCAGGAGCAGGACCTGGAGATGGTAAATGTAGTAAAGAAACTATTGGCCTCAACTGTCTTCCTCCTCCTCCTCCTCCTCATCATGATGGTAATGGTCTCAGGTGGTGAAGTACTTGGCTGGATGTGGGCTGCAGAGCTGTCCCATACTGCTGTCCAAAGGCTACCCCGACATCGGCTGGAACCCATGTGGGGGAGAGAAATACCTGGACTTTCTTCGTTTTGCCGTGTTCGTCAACGGTGTGTCGTTGTTCCACACACACACACACTTGTTGTCACAGTTTCTCTGCCTCCTCGCCCTCATTACAGTTGCTCTTCTCTTCCTCCTGTAGGTGAAAGCGTAGAAGAAAATGCCAACGTGGTAGTGCGTCTCCTCATCCGAAGGCCCGAGTGCTTCGGTCCGGCCCTGAGAGGAGAAGGAGGCAACGGTCTGCTGGCTGCCATAGAAGAGGCCATCAAAATATCAGAGGATCCTGCACGGGACGGACCCTCGGTGAAGAAAGACCGACGCTTCCCCATGTAAGTAGTTCAGAGCCGCGTGCTTATTGGCCAGAATCTGAGGATACGATCGTATCACGATACAGGGGCTACAATTGTGAAATGTTGTGAAATACTGCAGGAAGAAAGCAGGGATATTTGACTGGGAATTGGTGATAAAAAAATCTAGAATATTGTTACAGTGTCATGAAGTGAAATACGGTGATACGTCAGTGCTGCTGATATTTTCTCACAGCTGTATTTACTGTATGTGTGTCTTCACAGGTTTGGAGGAGAGGAGCAGCATGAGGAGAACAGGGTTCACCTGGGAAACTCCATCATGTCTTTCTACTCCGCCCTGATCGACCTGCTGGGGCGCTGTGCTCCGGAGATGCACGTAAGATGTTAAATCAAAATAAAAACGAAATATGAAAATATAAAATGTCACTGAACTGTTGTGTGAGTGACCCCTCTGTCTGTGCAGCTGATCCAGGCAGGAAAAGGTGAAGCTCTGAGGATCAGAGCCATTCTCAGGTCTCTGGTCCAGATAGAGGATCTGGTGGGGGTCATCAGCCTGCCGGTACAGATCCCTTCTTTTGGAAAAGGTCAGGGTTCATTTTATCGACAGTCAAAGATCAAACGAGAAACTTCTCACAGCCGTTGACTTAAATTCTAAATATTTGTTTTGGTTTTTTTTTTTCAAATGTTTTGTCAGACAACAGCATAATTGAACCAAAGATGTCAGCCAGCTTTGTCCCGGACCACAAGGCCCCCATGGTGCTGTTCCTGGACAGAGTCTACGGTATTGACAACCAGGATTTCCTGCTCCACGTGCTGGAGGTCGGATTCCTGCCTGACATGAGAGCTGCAGCTTCTCTGGACACCGTGAGGCTCCAACGCAGTCGCCGTCCGTGCTCTTCCTGTTCTGCCCTCACAGCCTAAACATCTGGAACCTCTGCTCTGGTCCTCAGGTTGCCTTCAGCACCACAGAGATGGCCCTGGCTCTGAACCGTTACCTGTGCTCTGCTGTGTTGCCTCTCATCACCAAATGTGCGCCGCTCTTTGCCGGCAGTGACCACAGGGCCATAATGATCGACTCCATGTTGCACACCATCTACAGGCTGTCTCGTGGAAGAGCCTTCACCAAGGCCCAGAGGGACATCATTGAAGAGTGTTTGATGGCTTTGTGCAAGTGGGTTCAAGTCCTGGTCACGTGAACATGTTAACAGCGTGGAGATATTTCTGTCACGGATCAACTTTGTTTTTTTCTGACGCAGACATCTACGTCCCTCCATGCTGCAGCACCTGCTGAGACGGCTGGTGTTTGACGTTCCCATTCTCAATGAATACGCCAAGATGCCACTGAAGGTATGAGGAGGTTGATGATGAGGAGAAATGATGACAAATGTAGAATCACATTTGTAGACCAGTGTTTCAAAACCTTTAATAAGCTGAGGAAAATATTTAAATTTGAATTTGGAAAAATCCCACTTCACATAATGTGTGTGTGGTGAAATTTTATGATCTTACTTTAACTTTAGGAATTGAAGAAAAGACACATTTGAAGATCGTCTTTAACTGCTATGATCTTACTTTAACTTTAGGAATTGTATAGTGGAAAAGTATTTAATTGTTCTGCCAGGTTCCTTTGTTCCTTTTTAATTTGCAGTGGAAGAGTATTTAATTGTCCTCTTCGTCACTGTCACGTTGATGAAAGAATGCAAATTATTTTCAGTAATTAAAAAATCAGTTACTGTTTATCACACTGTATAAATCCTTTGTTCCTTTTTAATTCGATCCATTTCTGGTAACTTTCAGCTTTTGACCAATCACTATGAGCGCTGTTGGAAATATTACTGCCTTCCTAATGGTTGGGCCAACTTTGGGGTGGCGTCAGAGGAGGAGCTGCATCTGACCCGCAAACTGTTCTGGGGGATTTTTGAGTCACTGGCACACAAGGTGGTACATGTCTGTTTACTATGAAATATCATTTAGATTTGCTAATTAAAAATGATTTTTTTAATTGTAATTTCAGAAATTTGATGCTGAGATTTTCAAAATGTCCATGCCCTGTCTCTGTGCCATTGCTGGGGCCATTCCTCCGGACTACGTGGATGCTAGCTACTCCTCCAAAACGGAGAAGAAGGCCTCCGTGGATGCGGAGGGAAACTTTGATCCTAAACCGGTGGAGACAACAAAGTCAGAGGGTTAACTTTAAGGCAATACATTAAAAAAAAAATCTACTTTTGACACTGACAACTAACATGTGCTACTTCACTCCTACATTTGCAGCACCATCATCCCAGAAAGACTGGATCCCTTCATCAACAAATATGCTGAATACACACACGACAAGTGGGCCTTTGAAAAGGTAGAGCGTCCTCATACAGGGACGGCGTCCTTATTTTGGATTATACTATATAAAAAAAGAGTCTTTTAGTTATGGAGGTGTTTGTGTTTGAACATTTTAGATCCAGAACAACTGGTCGTATGGTGAGGTCCTGGATGAGAATGCAAAAACTCATCCCATGCTCAGACCGTACAAGACCTTCTCCGAGAAGGTTGGTCCTCCGCTCTCGTTCTTCACTGATTATTCTTAGAATCCGTCCTCGCGTCTCATCACTGTTTCTTCTGGCAGGACAAAGAGATTTACCGCTGGCCAATCAAAGAGTCCATCAAAGCCATGCTTGCATGGGAGTGGAATCTGGACAAGGCCAGAGAGGAGGAGGAGTCAGAGAAGAAGAAGGCGGCCTCGCGAAAAATCTCTCAAACGGCTCAAGTAAAGAGACGCAGTCACAACATCTGCTCTGCTCACAGCTCGTGTGCTGATTAGAGTCGTACGACTTTCTCTTCCAGGCGACCTACGACCCCAGCCATGGCTACAGCCCTCAGCCCATCGACGTCACACACATGGCTCTCTCCAGAGACCTCCAGGTAAGACTGTCAGGGCTCTAGAGCAGAAGTCTGAGGTTCTTAAAGCGGACAGTTTCCCACGATGTGATCTGTTCTCAGTCGATGGCCGAGCAACTGGCAGAAAACTATCACAACACCTGGGGACGGAAGAAGAAGCTGGAGCTGCAGGCCAAAGGTGGGAACGCACGCCTGTGACCAACAGCAGGATTGTTTTTTTGGTTTGTTTTTATTGCAGTGTCAGTGAGTTCTGGTGGTCTGCCTGTGTTTGTGCAGGAGGTGGGACACACCCTCTGCTGGTGCCCTACGACACACTCACGGCAAAAGAAAAGGCCCGAGATCGAGAGAAGGCGTACGAGCTGCTCAAGTTCCTGCAGCTGAATGGATACGCTGTGACACGGTACTGACGGAACTCCAGATGTTGAACCTTCGTTCTTAAAACTTGAAGGTTGATGGTTTCCTGGAGTAAGATTAGTGATTTGGAGAGAAATAACATTTCTACAACAAATATTATATTATCCTGGAGTAAGATTAGTGATTTGGAGACAAACTGTAGCGAGTTTGAAACAACATTTCTACAACAAATAGAGTCTGAAATCATCCAGTTATTGAAAGTAAAAAAAACACAGTGATCATATGAACGTGTAACTCTCTGACACTGACTTCATTCTCAGGGGCCTCAAAGACATGGAGTCCGACATCTCCTCCATCGAGAAGAGGTTTGCTTATGGTTTCCTGCAGAAGCTGCTGAAGTGGATGGAGATCGCTCAGGAGTTCATCGCTCATCTCGGTACTGGCAGAAATGATCAGTACATCAGGTTTCAACTTTCATGGCTTGGTCACACGTTCACACACGTATGTTCTCCACAGAGGCTGTTGTCAGCAGTGGACGAGTGGAAAAGTCTCCTCATGAGCAGGAGATCAAGTTCTTTGCCAAGGTGAGGTCATTATTTTAACTTGTTTAACGCTGTTTTTTACCCCTGTTAAAACACTAACATTTCTGGCTCCTCCCTCAGATCCTGATGCCTCTCATTAACCAGAATTTCAAAAACCACTGCCTTTACTTCCTGTCCACACCTGCAAAGGTCCTGGGCAGTGGAGGTCACTCCTCCAACAAAGAGAAGGAGATGATTGCCAGGTGAGAGCGCTCTGATCTCTACCCATCCACACTGACATTTGTTACAGTTTTTCATCGTACCTCTTGGCTCCTGTCCGTCAGCACTTATTTCTCCAGAACGTTCTTTCTTTCCCACTGTCCTCCTTCTTCCCTGTCCTTTTAGTATCTTCTGTAAAATGGCGGCACTGGTGAGACACAGAGTCTCTCTCTTTGGTAAGGTGTCGCTCCCTCGGTGCTGCTGTGTCTTTGTGATGTGTCTTTATTTCAGCCACAGCTGGTTCTAACATTTCTAGTTAGTCACTGTAACTGTGTGTAGTTGTGTGCTGTTCTGACTCACCCTGGTACTCATCCGTATAAATCAATTCATTCATAAAACACCCTTCATTTGTGCGGACGCAGGAACTGACGCCACAGCCATCGTCAACTGTCTTCACATCCTGGCTCGGTCACTGGATGCAAGGTTTGCAAAAATGTTTTTATTTCAAAGACACATCTTGGAAAGGATTTATTCTTACAATAAATTACTACATTATTTCATTCTTTTTTTTTATTATTAGGACTGTAATGAAGTCGGGGCCGGAGATCGTAAAAGCAGGACTGCGGTCGTTTTTTGAAAGTGCTGCAGATGATATAGAGAAGATGGTGGAGAACCTGAAACTGGGCAAAGTCTCCAAAGGGAATCAGGTCAGAAACAGAGAGAATGTGACTCTTAGTAGACTTTCCTTCCATGTTTTTTAAAGGGCACATTTTCTGCAAAATGGACGCCTACATGTGTCCCTGTAGTGTCTAAAAACGACCAACAGAGAGTAGATTATATATTTCTACAAAACTGGGCCTAAAGTGAGCTGAGTATTAACAGTCTGATGATCTGACTCCATCATTATGTTCTGCTTCTCCCCTCAAAGCAAGTCAAAGGCGTGTCCCAGAACATCAACTACACCACCATCGCCCTGCTGCCGGTGCTGACCTCTCTGTTTGACCACATCGCTCAGCACCAGTTTGGAGACGATGTCATCTGTGTGTTTTCTCCCAACCATATATATATATATATAAATATATAAATATATAGACCTTTGTCTGTATGTGTACTGTATATATTGACACTTGTCGTGTGTTTGTCTGCTTGTGAACAGTGGATGATTTACAGATGTCCTGCTATCGCATCATGTGCAGCATCTACTCCTTAGGGACCGTCAAGAATCCACACGTGGAAAGGTGACACAGACACACACACACACACACTGAGAACACGTGGAGTTAAAGGAGCCGTAAAGACATGTTTTTCTTTTTCACACGGACTTGTTTGTCCTGATTCCAGACAGAGGCCGGCTCTGGGAGAGTGTCTGGCTCACCTGGCAGCGGCCATGCCTGTGGCCTATTTAGAACCACATCTGAATGAATTCAACGCTTTCTCTGTCTACACCACGAAGACGCCCAGAGAAAGAGCCAGTGAGTGCGGCCCCCCCCCGCCCCCCCCACCTCACCCCTCAGTGATATAGAATTGAACTCTAAGGTGATTGTCACTCTTCCCTGGTGGTTCCAGTCTTGGGTCTCCCCAGCGAGGTCCAGGAACTCTGTCCAGACATACCAGAGCTGGATGTTCTGCTGAAGGAGATCGGGGACCTGGCCGAGTCCGGGGCCCGGTACACCGAGATGCCTCATGTGATTGAGATCACGCTGCCCATGCTGTGCAACTACCTGCCTCGCTGGTGGGAGAGAGGACAGGAGAACTCCCCAGAGATGGAGCGACGTCTCTGCACCGAGGTCACGTCGGAACATCTCAATCAGCTGCTGGGCAGCATCATGAAGATCGTAGTCAACAACCTGGGCATCGACGAAGCCTCCTGGATGAAGAGGCTGGCTGGTGAGACGCTTACATTTAAAAAAACATTTACATTTATTTAGAGATTTATTCAATATCCAATGAGATGATTTGTTTTCTCTCCCAGTTTTTTCTCAGCCAATCGTGAGCCGGGCCAAGCCGGAGATGCTCAGATCCCACTTCATCCCCACCATGGAGAAGCTGAAGAAGCGGACCTCGAAGGTGGTGGCTGAAGAAGACCACCTGAGGATGGAGGGCAAGTCGGAGGGAGATGACGAAGAGGATGGAACCATACGTGACGAGTTCGCCGTCCTGTGCAGAGACTTGTACGCCCTCTACCCGCTGCTCATTCGCTATGTGGACAACAACAGGTAACGGGTCCTGATCGTGACACGTGATACGATAGAGTGACGTCCAAGGATTCTGTGATTTCATCTCTAAGTTCTGGACATTGTTCCTCAACATTTCCTGCTCGTCAGTCAAACTTCCTGTTCCTTTCAGAGCCCGGTGGCTGACGTGCAGAGACCCCGATGCTGAGGAGCTTTTTCGAATGGTGGGGGCGGTCTTTATTTTTTGGTCCAAATCTCATGTGAGTTGGTTCATTAGCTCCATTAGATCAACACACCTGTGGCAGCTGCTGATTCACACTGGCGGTTTTTTTAATTAATTAATTAATGATTTAATTTTCTTTTTTTCGACAGAACTTTAAGAGAGAGGAACAAAACTTTGTGGTGATGAACGAGATCAATAACATGTCGTTCCTCACCGCTGACAGCAAGAGTAAAATGAGCAAGGTGAGTCTCAGAGTGTGACTGATCAAATCACTCTGTATTGATCGACAATAACGTCTCAGGTTATTTGATAACCCAGAGCTGAGACCAGAAAGGTAACGACTGACTGATGGGATTTTTATCATTTCTTCTGTGGTTTTCACTTTATTTTTTTTCTTGGTTCAAACCAAAAATGTTTTCACTTCTGAGTTGAAGAGCGGCTGCGTGTTGACAGGACTCAAAGCGTATAGGTTTGCACTTCTGGTTGGAAAACCTTGAGCGGCTGTGTTAACGATATTCTCTCTCCGGTTGTCCCTGCTCCTCTTCTGTTGGGTTGCGGCTGGGTTTCCAGGGCGGGGACTCAGAGGTTAGACTTTGTTCCTGCACGACCGCTATGCTGACCGCATGGCACTTCACTCTGGGGGGAGCTTTTCATCAACCTCTCCAACACACTGGCACATCTGATCCACACACACACACACACACACACACACACATACATACGTGCTCGTACAGACATGGCAGCACAGCTGATCACGGCAGTGACAGATGCCTCTCCGTGCAGCTGTGTCTCAGTCCTGAATAGTTTGTAGATTGTTACGACTGGAACAAAAGTCTGAGGGAATTTGTCGCGGCTATAAATACATCGAGGTAATTATAGAATATGTACAGAGTACACACGACAAATGTCAAATGAATTTTAGGATCGACTTACGCTCAGTTGGGTGCAAAATCCTTGGACTCCCTGAAGACAGATACCAAATGTGATTCTTTATATGTAGAGAAGAAATAAAACTGCACAGAGAAGCAGAACTGATTCACAGTCATAAAAAAAAGAAATTAAACATAACATAATAATAATAATCATTTAATTTAGAAGTACTTAAGGAGAATAGGATTTTCTTTGATTATTTCCACACACACACACACCGACACACACTGACCAACACTACTTCACCCGGAGACAAACTCACATCATTTTCACCACGGATCACCGGACACGAGGACAGGCCCCGTCTGTGGGCCGTCCACCGTCCTGCCAGTGTGTGACGGAGGGGAGTCTGGAGGCGTTTGATGAAAGTACTCAGCTATAGAGTTGGGCTCATGGCGCCGGACTCCGCACTGAGGCCCAGGTGGCCCGCGGAGACCAGCGCCATCGTCCCGTTACTGCGTTTGTCCTTCGTCTTCATAGCTGAGTTCAAGTCTTCTCCGATGTTTCCTGGTTTTCTTTTCATTGAAGGACTGTTCTGATCTGTAGCTTTTGCAATGCAGCTTTTTGGCCAATAGGAGGCGATGTTAGTCTTCTCTGTGCTCTTTCTCCTCTCCTCCCTGGAAATATCATGGTCCATCATGGTGTAGTTTCCTTGACACCCCCCTCCGCCCCCCCCCCCCCCCCCACACTAACATGTGATTTGATGCTTAATGTCACCGCAGCAGAATTCTTGGACTGCCTCTTTAAATTTGGGCTCAGATGAAAAACCTAACCATGACATTAATTCACACTTACTGTCTAAAATATTGCCCTGCAGTGCTTTTTACCCCCGTTCTACTTTAGTAACAAACCGAGTTAGATTTGTTATATAACCATTAAAAAAAAAGGAGGTTCTTAAAGTCTCTCAGATGAATTTGATTGGACAGTTCTGACACTAGAATAACAGCAGTGTTTCTTTGACAAACACTAAACAAACTTTGAGTTTTTCCCACACATTGTCTTCAGTAATAATCACTAAACAATTGACCTCTGACCTTTGTGCCTTAAAAGGAAGAAGGCCTGATGAAGAGCATCAGTTCCCACTGAGTTTGGCCTAAAGTCCAGTCACATTCCATCACTGCGTTACATATATTTAGTATTTCCATATTTCCAACCTTCACACACACGTATATTCTCATCAATCTTGGAGGAATCCAGAAAGAGCAGAAGGACTGAACAGCAGCGATGTCGTCTTTATTTAACTCTGGGTTTGTGCTTTTAACGGCCTGCGACTAAAAAAAATAATAACTTGAATTTTAAACCCTGTTTTAACGAAACCTCATTTTGATTCTGTTGAACTTTGGCTGCTGTAAAACCTGCGGTGTTTTAGCCTTTAACCTTTTGTAGTCGAATGGAAAGTTGAGTTTCATTTGCATGTTTTATTAAATCAGATTCAATGATTCACTTCCTGTAGGAACCTAAACAAAAAACAAAAAAACAGTAAATTTCCCCCCGTTTGTCTTCACATTTAACACAAGGAGCCCAGAGAAACCAAGTGTCTCGGGTGTAAAAGCATTTATTATGTTGTCAGTAACAAACTAATATCCACGTCTGTGATTCTGTTTGGACATAAAAAAACAAACAAACAATCGAACGATTCCTAGTTTTTATCATTTATGTGATAAATATACAGTCGTACCAACTCTGTTCACGCCTCACACTGTCATTCTGTCCTGACAAAACCCTTTCTTTTCTAGAAAAGCTGGTACACTTAACTGAAATACAATAAAATCTAAAGTCTGTAGTTTGAAACCACAACTGAACATTAATTTAACAGGCAAAAAAAAACAATTCTTATTCTTTTGCGTGTGTTTGCCTGGTAAATGAAAGTTCAGGTGGTTCACCAAGTTGCACATTTTAGTTTTTATTGGACCAACTTCTCTGAAAACGTGGTTTTTGTTCCTCCGTGGTTCCGACTTTGCCGGACTTTGACCGTGGCTGGTCATGTTTCCACACAGGGACTCCTTGGGAACGTTGCTCTGTTCCTCTGCCGGTGAGGGAGTCGCTGCAAATGTGTTTTGATCTGCTGTGTCCCTCCTCAGGGCGGCGGCTCGGACACCGAGCGGACAAAGAAAAAGAAGCGCGGGGATCGGTACTCGGTGCAGACCTCGCTGATTGTGGCGGCGCTGAAAAAGATGCTGCCCATCGGCCTGAACATGTGCTCTCCTGCAGACCAGGAGCTCATCAACATCGGGAAGATCAGATATTCTCTGGTAGTTTAATCTAACCTGGACTTTTTAGCTTTTTTAATCTCATCAGAACCTTCTCAGGACAATGACGTGTCTTTACACCTGACAGAGAGACACAGACGAAGAAGTCCGAGAGTTCCTGCAGAACAACCTTCATCTCCAGGGAAAGGTACGCGTCCTCCTCAGTTACTGCATGTACTGTGAGTTTCAGCAAACTTTTTTTTTTAATTGCTCCTGTTTCCCTTTTTTCGTGGACAAGGTGGACAATCCTTCCATGCGCTGGCAGATGGCGCTGTATAAGGAGATGGCAGGAAAAGCTGAAGATGCCGATGCACCTGAGAAGGTGGTCAAGAGAGTGCAGGAGGTCTCTGCCGTCCTCTACCACCTGGAGGTGGTGAGTAGATGTCACAGCAATAAGAATTATTATTAAGGTGAAGTCTGTAGTCAGTATCCCTTCCCTGGCCTGTAGGTGGTGCTAAGATCACATTATAAGTCAGTATCCCTTCCCTGGCCTGTAGGTGATGCTAAGATCACATTATAAAGCTCTGTTCTTTTATTTACATAAACAGAACTGGTCCATGGTTTTATTTACGTCTCGTCCTGTGGAAACTTTTTCATCAAAAAATGAGGAAAACCTCTCACATTTTGCACAGACAGACGTTCTTGTTTGTTAGCATCGCATGTGCTAGCGGTGTCTTAGCATTGCTCATGTTAACTTAGCGGCCTGTCAGCAGTGCGTAAGTGCGTAGCCTTTCATTTTGAGAGACAGAGACAGACCTTCTTGGACTTATTCAGCCGATCTCAATCTTGTGAGGTGCGTTACTGCCCTCTACAGGCCTCTTTTTATTTCTGGTATTATTATAAATGAAATCATCTTTTCCTTCTTCTGTCGTAACAATTTCATTTTCCCTCCTGTCTGTGCTGCAGACGGAGCATCCTTTCAAGTCCAAGAAGATGGTGTGGCACAAACTGTTGTCCAAGCAGAGACGCAGGGCCGTGGTGGCCTGTTTCAGGATGACGCCTCTCTACAACATTCCCAGGTGGGAAACACCTCAGTATGGAGGAGTGACGCCGACTTCATCTGTAACAGAACCTGATAAAATCATCCAAACTCTGGGTTGTTGTTTCAACTGCAGACACAGAGCTTCAAATATGTTCCTCGAAGGATACAAACGCAACTGGATTCACACCGAGGGCTGTTCCTTCGAAGACAGGATGATAGACGACCTGTCGGTGAGGGGGCGGGGGGGCTCGTGTACAAAATGCTAATGCTAATCGTTGACCACATTGACCGTGTTTTTACCCCACTGTTCCATATCCATCCCAGAAAGCCATGGAGCAGGAGGAAGGAGACGAAGAAGAGGAGAAGGAAACCAAACCAGATCCACTTCATCAGCTCATTCTGCACTTCAGTCGGACGGCTCTGACGGAGAAGAGGTTCGAGTCCGGTCCCACTGCCACTGTGAAGACAAAAGAAATGTTCCCTTTGACAACCTCTGTTTGTTTGTTTGTTTGTTTTGTTTGTTTGTGTCCCCTGACAGTAAACTGGACACAGACCATCTGTATATGGCTTATGCCGACATTATGGCAAAGGTGAGTCTCACGGCAGAGAGCTGATGGAAGCAAGTGTTAATATTTGGACACAAACGCTCACGGTCTCCTCCTCCTCCTCCTCTTCTGTCCAGAGCTGCCACATTGATGAGGAGGAAGAAGGAGCAGAGCAGGTGGTGGAGAGTGCTGAGGATGAGATGTCCTTTGAGGTGCGACAGTCAGAACTGGTAATGGGCGACCAGGGGCTGGGCAGCAGGAACACAATGGAGCGGTAGCTCTTCGACGCACTGAGTGACATCATCATCCCCACATGACTTCACGCCCTCGTCTCTCTGTCTCTCTGTCTGTCTCTCCTTGTCCCGTCTCAGTATCTGTGTTCTGTCTCTCCTCTGTTTGAATGTTTTCTGCCTCATTTGTAGTTTTTTGTTTCAAAGATCCAGTCTAGATGTTTTTGAACATCGACTCCTGAGATTCTCAGGTCAAAACTGAACACGATTTGTTATTATTATTATTATTATTATTATTATTATTATTATTATGACTGTAGTTTAATGAGACCAGTTGGTATATGAAACACACATCTGGATTGGATCTGTTCTTGTTAATACACTGACACTAATACCAACAGAAGTTTAATTAACAATAGTAATTACAATGTTATATTATTTCTTAGGATTTTTTTTTTTCTATTTTTTTAGCCCAGCATCATTTAATTCTCTGCCACTCTGAGAGTTTTAGCGTGAATAGTGTTCAGCAGTAGTTCTCAATCTGTGGTACACGTACCACTGATAGTACTTTCGTAGTAGTATTCAGGGAGAGTATGCACAGTAACATGTAACACTGGAGCCAATATTTAAATTTATTGATTTATAATTAGTCACAGTTTTGTTTGTTTTTTTTAAATGTGTTCAGAGTGAAGTGAGAGTTGAGGGTCAGTCAAACTGGGGAGTCGAACCGACCCCCCCACATACACCTGATGGACTGTGGTTTTGATTTAACTCTTTGACTCGTGATGTCACTTCCTCCCAGTCTCTATATATGTGTCCCATTTGTCTCTCTCTCTCTCTCTCTCTCTCCCATGTAACCTCTCTCACCCCTGTAACAGCAGACTGTTATAACTGAATGATGCTAAACCAATGTTCTCCCCCCCTCCTCCCCCCTCCTCCCCCACTCACATAGTGTACTGACAGACTACAGTGGAAGCCAGTGTAGTACACACACAGTATTCGCAGTATTCACAGTACACACAGTACACAGGGTTTACTGTAGTTCTGGCAGTAGTTGACACTGAGGTTCGATCAGAAAGTCAGGGAAGTCAAGTGTGAGTTTTAGGCCCAACTGCCGACACATAGTGGGTCAAGGCTGAAGGGGGAGGGAGGGGGGGTTTGTGATGCTGTGAGTTGATTTGTGTTTTGTTGGAACTGAAGAATTCTTAGCACTGTTCAGAACCGATGTTGGACCCAGTGACAGTTCACTCCTCCAATCAGACAAAAAATAAAGCTCAGATTAAAAGGCAGTTAGAGTGAATAAATATTAGTCGTGAGAAGAAAATGGAATTCTTTGGTAGAATTATATAAAACATACAGCTGCTCCCACACTAAGTACTTTATACTCATGTGTATAAAATAGAAAATATTTTCAAGTATAGTTGGTAGAGTTTGACCAAGTAATGCAACAAAATAACCTGAAAATGGAATAAAAGCTGCACAGATTAAATCAGATTATTCCACAAATATTTGCCAATACTGACCAGAAGACAAACGAGGGAAGATTTCAGATTATTCATCAGTACAGTGTGTCACGTTGACAACTGTCAGAGAGTCAGATGTTTCCAGGCAGGAATGACGATCTGGAGAATTCCCTTTTCCCAGGAGACGAATGTTGAGTTTCCACTTCTGTATGTTTAAAGTGTCTGATCTGCAGCGATGACACTTTAATCTGGTCTGGACGTCTGGTCTGATCTGGACGTCTGATCTGGTCGCCTGGTCTGATCTGGTCGTCTGGTCTGGTCTGGACGTCTGGTCTGGACGTCTGGTCTGGACGTCTGACCTGGTCGTCTGGTCTCCGTAGCGTGGCTGGTTCCTGTAGTCTAACGCTTGCTGCGGGGCAGCAAACGTGAGGAAGTAGAATTAGAAACTCCTCAACTAATGAAGTTGACTCTTTAACAAACCTGACTGTGACTGTGCCTGTCAAAATAGAAACTTTTATTTGTAAGAGTTTCTGGATGTTTTGATTCACAAAACATTTGGATTTTTAAAAAAGTCAATGATTTGAAACAAACAAACGTTTGTCCAACTGTGAAACGTATTTTGGACGAAACGGTGAGACTGTAAGTATGGAGTAAGAACAGAACATGACCATGACATTTTTACCTCACATCTGTGGAGCAGGTGGTTGTTGTGTTGTGACCAGGTTGGTGTGAACACACACTCACAGAGTTTGTCTCCAACACAGGAGAAGGAAATGGAAAAACAACGGCTCCTGTACCAACAGTCCAGACTCCACAACCGTGGAGCTGCAGAGATGGTCCTGCAGATGATCAGCGCCTGCAAAGGTGGACGGAACAAGAACGCACATCTGTGTGGTTCACACCAAGTCCATGCTCTGGTGTAATACCTCTTCTGTCCTGTAGGTGAAACTGGTCCAATGGTTTCCACGACACTGAAGCTGGGAATCTCCATCCTTAACGGGGGCAACAGTGAGGTTCAACGAGTAGGTGTTGTAGAAACACACACTGAAAATATGTTCCAAGAAGTTGTTGTAACACTTCAGCTAGAAGGCGCTACGTCCTGTTTTTGATTTCAAAATAAGAGCACTTTTTAAATTTTTTAAAAATGTTCTCTGAATGCCCTAATTTGATGAGAAACATGCAGGAAAAGATAGAATTTTGAAAAATAATTTTACAAAAATGTACAAACATGTGACCTCTAATATGAATCTGTCTTCCGTGTCTTAGTCATTTTTTTTTTCCTCTCATTTGTCAGAAAATGCTGGAGTACTTGAAAGACAAGAAGGATGTTGGTTTCTTTTTGAGTGTCCAGGCTCTGATGCAGACATGCTGGTCAGTATGTGCGGTGTGGGGAGAGAGGGGGGGGGGGGGGGGGGTGGGTTCACAGAGCGACTCCTAAAACCAGGTTTTATTTTACAGCGTCCTGGATCTAAATGCCTTCGAGAGGCAGAATAAAGCCGAGGGTCTGGGCATGGTCTCAGAGGAGGGCACCAGTGAGTAGCTCTGCTTTTTACTGAACATATTTACACTTTAATTATTTACCTGATGAGGCTGAAAAGACAGCGGGGAAAACATGGCACGTCTTCTTACACCGCCGTTACCACACAACTGACCGTAAATCACGATGATGTAGTTCAAATGAAAGCTGTTATGGAGGAGCCTTTGTTTGTATTTGTTTTATTCTTTAGATTTTTCTTTGTTCCACTGCAGTGAATCTCAAACTGATTCAATTAATTTTCTGGGTTCAATGGAAATATCAGTGATTTAAGCCCCGTATTTTACTATTTTGCAAACGGTTTTTAAAAAGTCTATTTCTCCCGCATACCGCTAGAGGGAGCCCAAGTACTGTATCATAGATTGACAGTAGAACCACTGTTGTGCTATTCTGTTTGCATGGTATGTTTTCTTGTTTAATTCCACGGTTCTTCTCTTGACATGACACAGAAATAACACGTTAGTGACTAGTTAATAATTACCAGCCTGACTTTGGACCTGGTTATTCAGGTTTCACCTGTTCATTCGTCCACAGCTGCTCCTCCTTTTGTCATTTCATTCTGTGGGAATGTATTTTATGTGGAACATTGTTCATCTGCCTTTCCTCCTCCTCCTCCTCCCCTCAGTATTCTTGTTGTCATCACTCTGATCCTCTCTCCCTTCTCCACCATCACTGCCACCTCCTCCTCTGTTCTTCTTTCACGCTCCTCAGATTTGAACGTAGACCGGGGTAAATCACCTCCTCCGTCTCCTCCTCTCATCCATCTCACTCCTGCATCATCACGTCTCTGTGGTTCTAACCGTGACCTTCTTCACGGAGAGGATTGGAACGCCTCTGTCCATCTTCCATCTTCACAGATCATAAATCATGTTCATACCCCTGTTGTCGACCCCTCTGCCCCCCCCCCAAAAAAAAATCTGGTTTCATTAGAGAAACTAACATTTAGAATTCTGCTTCATTTTCAACATCTTTTTTTTTCCATTTAAACAAACATCAAAACAACAATATTTACCAATTTGTTTTTGTTTTAATTTTGAACCACTGCCCCCTGCAGCTTTGGAGAATCACCATGAGTCAAAGGTCAAACCATGACCCCTTATTTCATTGGATGAAGATACATACATATATATTTATATATATATGTATGTATGTATATATAGTAATATAATGCATTGAAAGGACTGTGTGATGAGGGTTCAATTCCCTGCTCTGCTGATGGACTCGGTGCACCAACCTTGACTGCTCTTTATGTGTGTGTGTGTGTGTGTGTGTATTTTAAGTTTGAGACGCTTTGGTGAAACAACAACAACATTTCTGTTTAATAAACAGTAAATAACTTCACGTATCAACTGTGTGTTAGAGCGAGGATGAAAACGTGGACGGACGCAGCTTATTTTAACACAACCATGAAACGTACGTGACGTGGCTCAAACACTGAGGTTTTATTTACACGTGTGTGTGTTTTCAAAGATTCCTGTTTTAACTGACTCTAATTTGCATGAGAAGCAGATGTTGACCTCAATATATTTCTGGCTGTTGATTTCTGTTGAATCGAGGTCAGACAGAGGTCAGACTGAGGTCAGACTGAGGTCAGACTGATTATCTTATACCATGTGACCATTCACTGTGTTTCATTAACAGCTTCAAAAGTCAATAAAACTGTAAAACTGTGAGATTTTATCATTAAAACCCTCAGGTTCTGGTAAGTTGAGAAATAAATGTTGGTTTTTTGTTATTTTATTTGGTGTTTTAGTTTTTAACTGTTTCACTCTGTGGATGTTGTTTTTGATTTGGATGTTTCTGGTTTTTCTTTTTCGGTAGATGAGAAAGTCATGGCCGATGACGAGTTCACCTGTGACCTCTTTCGTTTCCTGCAGCTGCTGTGTGAAGGTCACAACAACGGTGAGAATTCAGTCAAACGTTAGACGCACTTTCACCGATCTCCTCTGATCAAAACGTTCTCCTTCACTGCAGATTTTCAGAACTACCTGAGGACGCAGACGGGCAGCACCACAACCATCAACGTCATCATCTGCACCGTGGATTATCTCCTCAGATTACAGGTGACGAAACGTCATAAACCTAAACCATTATGAGGTGATCGTTTTAATCAGAGTGTGTGTCCTGCAGGAGTCCATCAGTGATTTCTACTGGTATTATTCTGGGAAGGACGTCATTGATGATCCTGGAAAAAAGAATTTCTCCAAAGCCATGGCTGTGGCCAAACAGATTTTCAACAGTCTGACTGAATACATCCAGGTACAGACTGGTCCTTCAGGTCAAAGGTCACAGGATTTTATTTTATTTTTTTGATGTTCATTAAACTGACCCACGCGGTCTCGTCTGTCCAGGGTCCGTGCACTGGTAACCAGCAGTCCCTGGCCCACAGCCGACTGTGGGACGCCATCGTTGGGTTCCTTCACGTCTTTGCTCACATGATGATGAAACTGGCGCAGGTACGTGTCCAAACCCAACACTCGACAACCAACACGTCTGCAGGACGTCACAGGTTCACTCTGACGGCCAACCTTATTCAAATCAGAGCCCCGTGGACCACATGTGGCCCAGAGGGAGCCTCAGAATGGTCCAGTCTAACTCTCTGTGTAGCCTAGCATTACCATAACTGATGACTGTGAAGGAAAAGTTTAACTTAAGATGGACCGGACCAGGTCTTTATTTAGTCGCTCTAAAAGAATCGACAGATAAAAAAAGTCATGATTTGGTTGGTGGATTTGTTGAACGCTGTGTGAAGGTAACGTTCCACTGAAATCTGGTTCATAATCCTGAAATATTTCATGCAAAAAAAAAAGGAAAGTAAACATTTCAGAAAATATGTATGAGATATATTTACAGTATATTTACAGAATATTTACAGTATATATTTGATGTTGAACTGTTTTGTTGATTGTGTTTAACTTCAGTTTGATTTGTTCACTCGGTCGACGTGTTAGTAATGTACATGTGCAGGAAGTAATACTTTGTTGCAGGTAGAAAAACCACAGTACACCATGTACACAGTACACAGTACACCCAGTACACAGTACACCATGTACACAGTACACCATGTACACAGTACACCATGTACACAGTAGTCCATCTAAGAATACATTCAGAGTGAAGTCGGTTTCCTGTGAATATTTTCACCTTTTTATTGTACACATGTGGTCTTTGTCTACAACAGAGAATCAGCTGTTAGGAAAAAAAATTATAAAAATTACAAATTAAAAATTAACTTGTCTTAGATAAATAAGTTAATTTATATTAATAAAAATAGTGACATTTAGACATTTTTTCAAGAATAAAGTTGTAAGTCGAAGAGAAAATAATATTTACACAAAAGTTTATGAGTAATGAGTTTTAATGTTTGTGATAATTCAATTTTTTTACTTCCTTATTCTCATAAAACTTTATTTCAATAAGATTTATTTTTTATCATTATGTCTTTATTCACAAAAATCTCTTCTTATTGTTTTAAAAATTTGGGGAATTAAAATATATATATATATTTTCCTCAACGTGGTCCAAATACTCAGTAGTACTTGTTCAGAGTACTTGTTCAGAGTACTTGGTGATAATGATCCAGTTAATAATGGCAGAATCACAGGCAGAATCTGCTTCAGCTTCAGGTTTCTGATGTGGTGCATGTTGACTCACTGTCTCAGGGTCCAGTGGGTCACTTGAACTGAACAGAGCCATTATTACTGTTGTTGTTAACACCGCTGTTGTCAGTCAGCCGCCTCCAAACTACACCGTGACTTTGTCCAGGTGACGGCGACAGCACAACACCAGACCAGACCAGAGAGAATTATGTTGACAGGAAGTGTTTGAATCTGCGTGAGACGTCAGACCACATGGTACAACTTAAAGGAGAAATCCCACCGTTTCTGACAGAGGGTGCTGTTGTTCAAGGTCATCAAGGTCTCTGCTGTCAGACAGCTACTGATCTGACCTGTCAAATGTAGGCGAGTATTAGGAAAGTGCAGTCCTCAGAATATCACGACAAGTGCTGTGCAACATGAGCCAGTGTTTTGTTAAACCCCATCTTTTAGTCATAAAGAAAAACCAACAATCTCTAATTCTATTGTATATAAAATGTAGCAATTAAATGAGGGAAATAACCACTAGGTGACGCCACTCTTTGACCCAAAAGGTCAAATTCTCATCCAAAATAAAAGCCCAAAGAATAAATTCTCCACTTTTCATCGACATCTTTGCGACTAAAGTCGAGTTAACAGAAAATATTGTCTGTTTAGCTTCAGCTACAGGACTAGTAATGTTGCACGGAACTTGCGATATTGTTTTGAGCGTTTTTGAGGAGCAGATATTCAGAGTTGGACCAGAGTTTGGTTTTGTTTTTTGACCTTGAACAAAAGCATTAAAAATGACCAAGATTTCTCCTTTAAGTGCTTCAAATAAAAGGTGAAAATACTTGTCAGGAAATCCCCCGCCCCTCGACCCCCCCGACTTCCCCACTCTGTACTGTGCAGTCATTCACTCTGAATGACGGCGGCTAGCCGCAGCATGCAGAAGCTTTTAATCACACATTGACAGGTTAAAAGCCGAGTTCTGCTCCAGTTCTGTTCAGTCCACAGCTCAGCAAACACTAACACACCACGCACTTAACACCACGTCACCGTCCTCCCTGCCTCGTGTCGCCCACTAGTCCGACCTATGACCTGTAGAACAGGAAGTAAACACTCAGCTGAACTGTACACCAGAGAGAGGGGATTTCTGGTTCTTAAATTTGGCGTCGACTTTAAACTTGTGTGTGACAAACACACACACACACACACACTGAAAATGTCAGGATGCTTTCATTTGTGTAACAACTGAATAATTCATTATTTAAACTGTCTTCCACATGGTCAATGCAGGGTAAAGTATGTATCCATTTTATTTATCTATTAACACCATAACCTGTTTCATATTTGCATATTTACGTCCGTTAGTTTCCCTCATCAGGTTGTTTTACTCCCACCTGGTTAGATTCTTAGTTCGATTCCCACCACAGGTCACTGTGAGTTTGTAATGAAAACAAAAACAAACAAAAAAAAGTCACATCCAGAATATTAAGCAATGTTTAAAAAGGATTCAGTCAACAAGTCCTCAGACAGATGGTTTCTGGTGTTCATGACTCAAACCAGTTCAGACTGGTCTCTTTGTCCAGTCGTTCCTTTGATTTGATTAGGTTTTTTTTTTAACCAGGTGATAATGGAAACATTTACATCTAGAACCATCATCGATTGGGCCTCAGTCCAGAGATGACATCACCGCGGCACAAGAGTTTTTGTTCAATATTTGTATTTACATCTGTCTTGGAACTTTTTGACCCACTTTAAATTATGATTGAGTGACTTTATGTGACGCTAACGTTCACCACGGAAAAACAGGTGAAATGAAAACACCCTGTGACGGAGCTGACCTTTAACACCGAGGATTTGGTTTTTCACCTGTGGATGACACCCACAGATTAACCCTTTATTATTAATAATATTATTATTGTTATTATTAATATTGTTATTATTATGAAGACTCTGATAATGTTGCTTTTTGCCGTCTCTTATCACTAATCTGACAGTCTGCGTTGCCGTTGCTGTGTGGTTGGCTTTGTTTCCTTGTTGCTTTGGCACTGTTGTTGCTTAACTACTATCACACACACACACACACACACACACGTACACACACATATTGATGTCTGTGCGATATATAAAAACAGTTCTTTCTTATTTGAGCTTTGTTCAGGACTTCAAACACAGTTCAGTTCAAATGCTCGACGTTAAAGTTTTGATGAATGAACTTATTCCATAATAACATGTACTTCAGTTTTTGTGTTAACTCTTTTTTTGTGTGAGTACTTTTGACCCACCTGTGTATTCACTTCACCAGTGACGGGGGATGTAACAATGCAACGTGAATCGATCAGAGATCAATACAGATGCGTGACACTTCTCATTGGTTGAAATGAAAAATTTGATTCATTCATCCAAGGCTCAAGGAGTTATCTCAAAAAGTCAGCGGTCGTACCATGACAATACACACTACGTACAGTAGGTGGCGGTCACAATTTGTCCAGAGATCATTTCATTTCAAAAATAATTGTATCGTGAACAAAAAAAAATCGTAAATCATTTCGTATCGTGTGTTGAGTGTATCGTTACATCCCTACCAGTGACTGTTGCATCTATAGAAAAAAATCGTCTGTCGTTTGTCACCGACTCGTCGTCGGTGTCTCCACTGTGACTGATTTGTTCCTGTCTTTGTCACGTGTCAGGACTCCAGTCAGATCGGTCTGTTGAAGGAACTCCTGGACCTTCAGAAGGACATGGTGGTGATGTTGTTGTCACTGTTGGAGGGTAAACACTCATCGTCAACACTTCCCGTGGTTTTTCTCTTTTGTCCTGTTTTGACCCGTGTTTGATTCCGTCCTCAGGAAATATCGTGAACGGCACCATCGCTCGTCAGATGGTGGACATGTTGGTGGAGTCCTCCAGCAACGTGGAGATGATCCTGAAGTTCTTTGACATGTTCCTCAAACTGAAGGACATCGTAGCTTCCGATGCTTTCCGTGACTACGTCACCGACCCTCGAGGACTGATCTCCAAGAAGGACTTCCAGAAGGCCATGGACAGTCAGAAGCAGTACTCGCCGTCCGAGATCCAGTTCCTCCTGTCCTGCTCGGAGGCCGACGAGAACGACATGATCAACTACGAGGAGTTTGCCAGTCGCTTCCAGGAACCGGCCAAAGACATCGGCTTCAACATCGCGGTGCTTTTGACCAACCTGTCTGAGCATGTTCCTCATGACACCAGGCTCAAGAACTTCCTGGAGCAGGCGGAGAGCGTCCTCAACTACTTCCGTCCTTTCCTGGGCCGTATAGAAATCATGGGCGCCAGCAGGAAGATCGAGCGCATCTACTTTGAGATCAGTGAAGTCAACCGTCGACAGTGGGAGATGCCGCAGGTGCGGGAGTCCAAACGACAGTTCATCTTTGATGTGGTCAACGAGGGAGGAGAGTCTGAGAAGATGGAGATGTTTGTCAACTTCTGTGAGGACACCATCTTTGAGATGAACATCGCCTCCCAGATTTCAGAGCAGGAAGAGGAGGAAAAGGGCGAGGAGGATGATGAAGCAGACGAAAGTGGCGTGGAGGCGGGGCCAGGAGGAGGAAGTGTCGGCGGAGGTGAAGAAGACGGTAACGGAGAAGAAGGTCAGCCTGAATCCAGCTCCGCCTTCGCAGACTTCATCAACAGCATGTTGAGCTTCTTCAGTATTTTCACCTTCAGGAACCTGCGCAGACAGTACCGCAGGATCAGAAGAATGACGTGTAAGGAGATCATCGTGGCTCTGTCCAGGTTCTTCTGGACCATCCTGATGAGCATCCTTCACTTCATATACAACATCTGCAAGGGCTTCTTCATGATCATCTGGTACACTCTGTTCGGAGGAGGTCTGGTGGAGGGAGCTAAAAACATCACGGTGACGGAGATCTTAGCCAGCATGCCTGACCCCACGCAGGACGACGTTCACGGGGACGGACCAGGAGAACTGCGAACGGGGGAGGAGCAGGAGGGGGGGGCAGCGACTGACACGGGAGAGACTGGGAGTGGAGAGGAGGAGGAGGAGGACACCCAGGAGAAAGAGGGTGGGAGGTTCCCAGGTATGGACGCCCCCGGTGGTCTGGGGGACATGGGGGTGGAGGCTCCTGTTGAACCCCCCACCCCTGAAGGAACTCCTATAACAAAGAGGAAAATGGTGAGAAACCTGAGCAGAAGTGTGTCGGAAGTCGTCCAAATCATTTTTTTTACATCCAATTAAAACTTTTTTTAATCTCATAATAAGGCATTTTTTCACATAATTTTGTCGCCTTCTCTTAAGACAATGGCAGAAAAAATCATAATAACGATATAAAAAAATCATGTATCAGCGTTCAGAGTGTGTGTGTGTGTGTGTGTGTGTGTGTGTGTGTTTCTGGCAGCCTCCTGAAGACAGTGACTCCACTAAAAAACCTCCTGAACCTGTTCCTGCTCAGGAAACTCCTCCAGAGGCTGAAAAGGCAGAGTAAGTCCACAACGTCCACAAATGTGCTTCTTACTGCAGTACCACCGCTGACCTATGGGGGGTGTAATAATAATGGTGTAATAATACTGTGTGTGTTGCGAAGAAGGAAGGCGATAAATAGAGCAAATAGTTTTGTTGTTTTGCAGCTTGCAGCTTCCCCTAACTGGCCAGTAGGTGGTGCTAACAGAGAGTCAAAGATTTTCCTCCAAAAAAGTAAAACATTTAGTTTGTCTGATGATTGTGGACAAATACACTGACACTATTAATTTGGTCTTTGTTAAAGCAAATCTGAATCTTGTTTGTTTCAATGCTGCCACCTACTGGTTCTACTTTAAATGACTGAGGTTGTTCTGTCATAGTTTTCTGCTACAGCAGCTGATAGTGAATCGTTATTTTGCCGTAAGTGGAAGTAAGAAATCACAGTTAAGTTATTGTTTGTTGTTTGTTTGTTTTTGTTCAGAGTTGAAGGTGGAGAAAAAGCAGAGAAAGAATCTCAGAGCAAAGAGAAACAACATGCAGAGGAGCCGAGGAAATCGGCCGCCAAGAAACAGAAGAAGCTGAAGAAGGAGGGAGGGTTCCAGATCTGGAGTGAGCTGGAAACACAGAGGAACAAATTCATGGTGAGGTTCAGCCTTTTGGTGTCCACAGGAGACGCTGACGCTGACGGTGTCAACACAACTCTTCATCTCTGCCCCACAGAACTACCTCTCCAGGAACTTCTACAACCTCAGGTTCTTGGCACTGTTTCTCGCCTTTGCCTTGAACTTCATTCTTCTCTTTTACAAGGTAAGAAATAAAGATAAAGAGTCTCTTTCTTTCTGTTTCCTGTCTGCTGTCGGCGCTCGTGTCACAGGAAGTTCTCTGCTCTCTGGTTCCTCCAGGTCTCTGAGACTCCGCCCGACGGAGACGACCTTGAGGGGTCTGGACTGTCGGAGGGCAGCGGGCTCTTTGAGGGCTCGGGATTGTTTGAAGGTTCAGGAGATGATGCTGAGGGATCGGGGCTGGAGGGAGGAGACGACGACGATGACGAAGACGTCCCAGTCTTTTACTACCTGGAGGAGAGCACGGGCTACATGCAGCCCACGCTGGCCTTCCTGGCCATGCTGCACACGGTCATCTCCTTCATCTGCATCATCGGCTACAACTGCCTCAAGGTAGGACGGCTGCCACACACCAGGGTGAACCATATTAAATATGGGTCACATATGAGAGAATAAAGTGGGATTCGGCCCACTAATTGTCTGGTGGTAGATTCCACTGGTGATCTTCAAGCGCGAGAAGGAACTGGCCAGGAAGCTGGAGTTCGACGGCCTGTACATCACCGAGCAGCCGGAGGACGACGACATCAAGGGCCAGTGGGATCGGCTGGTCCTGAACACGCCGTATGTAAACAAAAATGTTTTAAAAAAGTTAGTATTTTTAACTGGTCTGACCGGGTGTCTCCTGTCACAGCTCCTTCCCCAACAACTACTGGGACAAGTTTGTGAAGAGAAAGGTGAGTGTCTGAGGGGTGAGGGACGTGGACGGACTGGGTGTGGACCGTCTTTGACTGAACGTCTCTGTCCAGGTGTTGGACAAGTACGGGGACATCTACGGCAGAGAGAGAATCGCTGAGCTGCTGGGCGTCGACCTGGCATCCCTGGACGTGAGTCAACAACACGAGAAGAAACAGGAGGAACCGGACAACTCCGTGTTCACATGGTACGGACCAGCACTCACAACACATTGATTCATTGATTCATTGATTCATTAATCACAGGTGTTTACCAGCAGTCTCTGTCTTTTCAGGATGACCTCCATTGACATCAAGTACCAGATCTGGAAGTTTGGTGTCGTGTTCACGGACGGTGTAAGAAAACCTGTGTTACTACCAGCGTACTACACCATACATGTACTGTAGTACCATGGGGGACCTCTGGTCTAAATCAGTTGCTGGCTTTGCTGTTGCTGTTTACTACAGACCACAATCTGGTGGTCATTACTGCCACCTTCTGGGCTGGAGTGTGTGAGGAATTAGGAAAGGTGGTGCAGTTATGGTTTTGTACATGTTGTCTGGTCCATAATGAGGCACCAGATCTGAGATGGACCCGGTCCTCACCTGGTCTGGACCACGTACTGGTCTAACACCAACAGTTGTGTTCCTCTGAGCCCTCAGCCCTGACCCTGTCCTCTGGTGTTCCTGCAGACGTTCCTCTACCTGTGCTGGTACCTGATCATGTCTCTGCTGGGACATTACAACAACTTCTTCTTCGCCTGTCACTTACTGGACATCGCCATGGGTGTGAAGACTCTGCGCACCATCCTGTCCTCGGTCACGCACAACGGCAAACAGGTGGAGTGAGCGCAACTCCTTTGTGTTTGTTCGCTTGAACCCTGACCTCTGACCTCTGCCTTCTTCCTGCTGCAGCTGATGATGACGGTGGGCCTGTTGGCCGTGGTCGTCTATCTCTACACCGTCGTCGCCTTCAATTTCTTCCGCAAATTTTACAACAAGAGCGAGGACGAGGACGAGCCGGACATGAAGTGCGACGACATGATGACCGTAGGTCACCTGACCTCCAGAACTACTGACCCCTCATTGACCTCTGCTCACCATTACTCTGAAACCCACTTCCCCAGTGTTACCTGTTCCACATGTACGTTGGAGTCCGTGCCGGAGGAGGAATCGGAGACGAGATCGAGGATCCGGCCGGGGATGAATACGAACTTTACCGCGTGGTCTTTGACATCACCTTCTTCTTCTTCGTCATCGTCATCCTGCTGGCCATCATCCAGGGTAAAGACTGTGTGTGTGTGCTCCTGTGTAGCTGTGTATACTGGTGGGGACACTTTGTCCTGGTGGTGACTGGCAGTACTACATGTACGTTGACACATTTGTAAAGGCTGGGGAAACAAACGGCCATGGGTTATTTTTGTGTTTTAATGCCACCCTGTGGTTAAACAATGTAATTTCAATAAAAAGCTTTGGGGATCACTCCAGTCAGGGAATTGTCCAGGTTTCCTCACATCACAGGAAATATTGGGAGGCTGTATCTGTATAAAAGGGATTTAAAAAACGGTGATTTCCTGTCTCCGTCCTGCAGGTCTGATCATTGATGCCTTTGGAGAACTGAGGGACCAGCAGGAGCAGGTGAAGGAGGACATGGAGGTAAAACTGACACAAAAACAACACAACTGTTTTGGGGTTTTTTGTTTGTTTGTTTAACCCTTGATTTTCTCTTGTGCAGACAAAATGCTTCATCTGTGGAATAGGAAGTGACTACTTCGACACGACACCACACGGTTTTGAGACGCATACGTTTGATGAGCACAATCTGGCCAATTACATGTGAGTGTGGTCCACTGTGGTCGGACTGTGGACGAGGAGTGGTGAAAACAAACAAACAAACAAAACAAGCGTCTGTGTCATTTTCAGGTTCTTCCTAATGTACCTCATAAACAAGGATGAGACGGAGCACACAGGACAGGTACGTGGGGACAGACTGGTCCAGTCCTGCTCCAGGTCACCACTGGTTCTAACCTCTGGTTCTCTGTCTCTGCTGCAGGAGTCGTACGTGTGGAAAATGTACCAGGAACGCTGCTGGGACTTCTTCCCTGCCGGAGACTGTTTCAGAAAACAATATGAAGATCAACTCTCCTGATCACCCCCCCCACCCCACAAACCCACACACACACACACACACACACACGAGTCATCACTAAGGGGAGCATTTTATTTTATTTTTAATTTATTTACAATGCCTTCATACTAACAGGGTTTGGGTTTTTAATTATTTTTCTGTTGGAAAACAATGTGATAGTTGTTTAACATATTTTGATAATACATTTATGTTGCATTAAATTAGTCATTTGTTTTGTGACTGTCATGGTTCTTGTCGGGTTTTTGGCTCATATTTGATCTTGTCATTGAACTGTCATTTACAGCGCCCCCTAACCTTCAAATGTTTAAAATAAAAACATGAAAATATGAACCTGCGTGTCTTCTGAACAGCTACAGAATAGAACTCAATATGAAATGAAAGAAAAAAATGTCCCTTAAAGAAGAACCTGGTGGTAGTTGACAGAGTGACGTTTGACATTACTGCCCTACATGATGAAACCCGACCTGGAACTGAACGTCTGCCTGGAAGCCAATCACTCTCCCACCGTGTCACCCCAGGCCGTCGGAGCTGCCACGTCCCCAGTGTAATGTAACACTCCACGTCTCCACTGTCGTCTTCACAGCCATTCATTTCCTCGCTGACGTAAACCAACCTGGCACAGGAGTCTGGATGGATTTGAACCGTGAACCTTCTGTAAGGCAGGCAGGAATCACACTGCTCCACCTGAGGCTCAGAAGAGTTGAATAAAAGTGTAAAAATAAGATTAAGTTATAAAGTGTCCAACATCCAGGTCTGCCTGAGTTAATTAATGAGTTAATTAGTGAAGATAAGACAAGTTTTCCTTGAAGATTATTCAAAAAAATATTTTAAAGATATTTTCTCTTTAAGCTCTGTTTCAGATCATTAGTGGTTTTATTTTCCCGTCTTTCACTGAAGAACGTCTGTCTCCTCGTTCCTCCATGTTCACACACATCAGGTGACGGCAGCATGTGTTTCTCTCTGTGACCTGACGCCTGAGCAGCTCCTGGTGGACAATGGTCAAAGGTCTTCATCACCTGTCACTGACAGAAGGTCGCCGTCACCTGGGTCCATGACTCAGGTTTCAGTGGGAGACAGAAGTCAGTGTGTACCTGGATGAGATAAGATCATCTGAGTGTCGAACATTTGTTTGTTTTTTTTATGAACACATTTTTCACTTGTTCCTACTTGTTCTAGATATTAATCAATATCTGCAGTGTATCAATATCAAACACATGCGTACGTTTCAAATGTGTTGAGATAAGACTTCAAAACGTCGCGTCGTATTTAGCAGAATATATGAGCGGAGTCTAAAGTTGTAACAGCTCAGCACAGCTCTCATATTTCTCGTGTTTTTTTTACTGAACATGTTGTGACATGTGACATGACCTGTTTCAGAATTTAAAGTTTTTGGTAACGATTTGTACTA